CTTCAAAAAGTTGTCGGTCAACCGCGTTTGAGCGCTCATTGATCATCGCGCTGTCCCTCGGCTTGATGACCTGCACTTTCGGAAAGGGTGACAGACCGAAGATCTGGCTGAATCCCCAGAAGAGTCCCAGCAAGTCACCGAGAGGGATTCTGGGGGGGGGGGGGGTGGGGGTGAGGCCAGAAACCGTCATTGCTTGTGAGCTGACCCAAGGATGAGCGATGTTGCTATCTGCGTTGCTGGCGCTGCAGTACTCGATCAGCTGAGATACAAGGGTATGAGCGATTTGTAACGCTCCAAGAGGCTCTTGTGATTCATTGAAGATAACACGAAGGGAGGATAAGGTAGCCCTGTAGTAGGATCTCTGAACTTAGAACTCTTGGGCGGCCTCATTTGATGCCATAGCCACTCAGGCTCTCTTCTCCATGCTCAAGGCAAATTGGACGAATCGGTAACGGTAGGGATGGGTTTGGGCATGGCGCATATAATGCGGGAAGCTGGGTACACCGTGAAGTGGAAATACTGCGAAGACCAAGGACATTAGTACAAGACTCCTGATCAGATTCATGGCATCACTATCAAGGTTGGATGGGGGACTGCTCTACTGTACATAATATTTTGATCCCTGTGAAGGTGGACAGATTGCAGAAGGGCTTTCTGTGTAGGAATAGGAGACCACCCTTCCTGGCGATCAGTCACTCCCTCACTGGGCCGTGTGTGTTTACTGCTTGTTACTGGCCCGCGCCATTCTCTCAACAGCATATCTCAGCTGACATGGACTTTATCTCAATTGGCGACTCCGCCGCTCTGGAGGGCGGCTGTTGGGGAGTGTGCTGTAGTCCCATAAGCCCAACCCAGCGGCGCCTGATACATTGACGTCGATAGCGCCTTATAACTCCTTCTAGCGACTGTCATGTCTGGAGCAAGTTGTCAAGTTTCCGTTTGTGTGCTGGATTGGCACATCGCTAGCACCCCCTTTTGACATCATGGAGGAGGAGGGGAAAGATCGAGTATGTAATCGGACTTTTCCCAACGAACTTCGAGTCACCTCTCGGGCAAATCTCAACCATTCATTCGTGTTGTAGTTCATCGATGGATCAATGAGCGTTGAGCTCTTGAACGCCTTCCAGGTGTAATTTCTGTCAAGAATCGCATCCTGCTTGAAGCGGCTGAAGCAACCATCATTGCGCTGTCGGAACTGGGGCCGTTCAACGGGGCTGGCTGTATTCATGAGCTTCTAGTTGGGAGTCGAAGATGTTGCCATGATCTCGGTCAAAGCGAAGCTTCGTGAAGCTCAACAACTACCCTTGGTCGCCTGAAAGCTGCACACTTTTGCTAACAGAGGGCAAACGGAAGGGTGATCTGGAGTCGCAAGATCAAGTACTGAGGTGGTTCGTCCGGCTTGTACGTGTCTCTGAAGTGACAGCACTCCTGAGACAGGTTAGTTGAGGACATCATGAAAAACATTGTGGGTAAAGTACTGGCGCCGAGTGTATCGCCGAAGCTCGTTCAGCTCAATCGTGACGTAGCGGTCAAAGGGTGAGTTCGATGGAGGTAGTGGTTCTTTGTCGGCTGTTACTTCGAAGTTGGCGCAATCGTGCTGCTGAGCTCGCTGTGTATTTTATCATTGAACTCATGATCTGTCGAGAACAATTAGAGGTTTAGCAAACGCATCAGTCTGAAGCTGACATACAATAGCCGGCCTCATCCCCTTGTCGTTGCTTGGGCTACAAGTGGTGATGACGCTAACCTTGTGTCTCTTCCTAGAGGGCGGACACGCAGTGGTCACTCTTCAAGACTCCAATGCTGAAGCAGACATGAGCTTTCGGGTGCGATCTCTTGTCAATAGCGGCATACAGACTAGTTCTGAGCAAAGCCTGGGATCTTGGGCGCCTTTGAGGGAGTTGATGGACATCATCTTTGGGACTGTAGGCGCGCTGGCCCATCCCTGACTTGAGCTGTTTGGCTTTCTTGCGTATCTAAACTTTACCCCAGGTAGGGCTGAGATGATTGTATCGGGTTCGAGTTGGTGGTATTGTCGAAAAGTGTTGACGCTATCAGTCGAGTCAAGTGTTGTTCTGCGCAGAAGGTCAATGAGAATGTGTTTTGAACATGACGCAGAGCTGTTCACTTACCCATTATCGAGGTTGAACATTTGTGAAACTGGGGTAAAGCTATATCATGAGAACCTCTTCAAAGCGCCGTATCATCTTGAAAGCTGAACCTACTTGCTTATGACATTCGCGGGATATGTCTGAAGAGCGCTCTTCTTGTAAGGTGAAGGCTTTGCAAGCGTCCTAGATGGCAATGTATGGCGAGTTAAACAGATGCTAAGCTTGGGTACCGACTTGGGGAATCAGGATCGAGTGGCCTTGAATGTTCAGTTCGGTTTGGAATATTGGTCGTCAAGTGAGACTGTGTGATGCCCCCCTTTTCCGCAAACCACTCCAAACGTTTGGACCGAAGAAGTGTTTGGGGCGGCGAAGAGGCCTGTTTCTTCGAACATTAAGCGTTTCTGGCGTCTAGATCGTCTTCCAGGGGGGATACCAGTGGAAGCGGGGTGTTGGTGGAAGACATTCAGATGGCCTGCACTGATGGAGATTGACGAGTGGGGCGAGTCAACAAGAAAAGACCAAGTTCACTGCAGACAGCCACACTATGATCTTGTCAGTTGTGTTCAAGACATTCCCTCGTGTCCCGAGACTTTCTCTACACCTGTAATTCTTTCACAAGAACAAGCGCCCACCCTTTCTTCGGTAGCACCAATTTCTGAAGCATAATCATGCAAAGTGCAATGAATAAGTTCAATCTATAATGCTACTGGTACATGTTTGTGACTGAAGCTATTTCTGGTCTCCATCAATGAACCTGTAAGTGGATATTGGTATCTCCGTGGAAGTGTCGGTGCCAACGGCGGCACTGAAGGAACTCGTTAGAAGGTCTCTCTTCTGACTGTCCGAATAGGGTGAAAACAGCTTCAAGAGCCTTTTAGGTACATGCGTTGTTTTAAGACGAGGCTTTCATTCAGAGACCGCACACCTCTACATCCAAGGGTCACCATTCACCACTCCTTGCTGCAGGCCAACATCATGCCCCCCTCCCCAGGCATAACTCCTCTCATGATACAGAGCCTCTCTTGCTCCAAGTGTTTCCTGGTCTTCGGAAGTCGGGATCGTTCATGAATCAGATTAATGTAAATTGTCCAGATGCCGCTTTCCGATTTGGAAGCCCCTGAAACCAGATCACCATTAGATACTGTTGTTAACAAAGCCACCACCGACGTAGGAAGTCCTGAGGCTTCCAATTGTTGTCACTGAGTCCCGTGAATCATGTAGATCTTGCAATACGTTTCACTCAAGTGTTCTGTGGAGTCGTGGACGTGTGGTGCTGTGTCCAGAATGATGACACTGAGCAGCGCTCAGTCAACGCCGGGTCAATTTGATGCGAGATTGAATGGCTTGCGCGCCCTCTGTTGGATTCGTGGTGACTACGTTCCAATAGCTTGATGTCACGTATCTCGCAAGGTCGGAGCTGTTCGAGGTCGGACAGCGATGTGAAAAGGGGTAAGTGATACTCTTATAACAGCGATGAAAATTGCATGTTGCGAACTTGTACTAAATGTCATTAGAGTTTATTTTCAGTGTTTTAATGGTGTATTACTGCAGCGATTGCTGGTTGTTGTTCATTCCTCGGTTGTGGCCAATGTGGTGGTGGGGAGCTCGCAACAGTCCGCGTTGGGATTCGTACTTCGATTGAGTTACTATCCCTTTTCCTTCGGTGCCTGTACTCATTTTGAGTGCAAACGAACATCACAGTGAATATGTAGAGATCTGTAGTATGTGTGGTCTTTGTCAAAAGGGGTAACTTGGTCAATATGTATTGGACAAGGAGTATAGGAGTGGGCAAATCACTCGCTTCCAAAATACAGCTATGAGACTCTCCTACATCATTCTTCTTGATTTTGAAGGTCCAATTTGTGAAAGTGGGGGCGGTATCGTTTTGCTTGTGGTCTGAATCACCGAGTGTCCCTTGGTCAGGGCAGTGTCAGAACGCGAACACGGACCTTGTGCATAGAATGCTTTTACCCAACGGCCTTGGCTACCACACAAAAGTACGCACAGAGGGGCCAATTGCAGCAATTAGAGACCCAGCCAAAGGCTCCCTCGCGCTATTGACGAAGAGTGTAAATATTGATCCCCAAGTGTCAACCTACCAGTAAATCACATTAACGAAGAGGATAGCAAAGTGATCTTATTGTCCAAAGCTACCGATACCCTGATGCACATTGATGCAACAGAACAATAGAATGTCACAGCACCAGGAGACGCATTGGGGAGGTCTTTTGAGGCCATCAGCTGCCCGTAGGTGACTTGATTAGTACCCGTACGTCTCCCCAGGGGCTAGGCAACGTACTAACGACCACTGAAGCTCCCTTCCGGTGACACAAGGAGCTTCCCCTCGAGTGAATGGCAAGCGTGATTTCATTGTTGCCAGTGGCAGAGACGCATGGCTGCCAGTGGAAGAGGGCAGAAGCCCTCATGCAGCTCTTGCCGGGGCTTTATATATGTCCCCTCCCACTTCTCCTCCATCTCTTCTTTCCTTCCTCTCTCACCCTCAAACATTTTTATCCCCTCTCCTCCAATATCTTTATCACACATCAAATATAATTATCTTCAAATATATATATCGCCAACGACATCTGGCTCCGGGTCCTGCGCGGCCTCAACCTACCGACAGTGAGTCACCTCGCCTTTCCTTTTCTCTCCTCGCAGAAACGTCTCGTGCTGCACTTCCTTTCTTCTCCCCAAATCCCTTCCTCTCTTCCCTTGCCCCCAAACACGCGGTGCCTCGCGCTTCACTTCACTCAGTGATTCACTTTGGCTTCGACGCACGAGCACACACACTCACCACTCATCTAGGGTCCCGGGCCAGCCACTTGAAGTGATTGTCCGTCCTTCTTGTGGTCTCTGGCACAATAGAGGAAAGCCTCCCGTATTTTCTCCATGGTGCCGGAGAATGTCGTCGATGGTTGCGGCAACGACTCCCTCCAGGAAGAGCCATTCCCTGGCCCGGACAACCAGTCGAAGATGAAGCGCTCGGTTGAGAACGCCGAACACGTTGGTACGCAGCTTCTCACAATCAACCGCAATGGCAGGCAACTGACACTTGTTGATCTAGGTCTGTTCATCCCGACTGCTGGGCAGTACTTCCGGAATGAGCGGCGCCGCCGCCACTCCCAGTATGACGGCGGCCGCGCTTCTTCTTTCCAGCCTTTTGGTCAGAGGTTCAAGGGCAATAACGCACTTGTCTTCTACCCGGAGGGTAGTCCCACTGTCGCTGGCGCTCTAAGCCAGGACATGGACATCTCCCACCGCATCGAGGTCTGTGACACTCCTGCGCCCTCTCTCGTTGAACTCGGCAACTACATCACCGTAAGTATCATTTGTGATCTAGTGAAATGCAAAATGTACTGACCCGACAGATCAAGAGCAGATCAGTCACCGAACATGCTTCACTAACTCACCGAACCTCCAAATCACCTTTCTCAACATCTTCCCCGACACACTGGGTGATTCCTCTTCCCCGACATACTGGGTGACTGGCCGCCCCAAGAGGGTCGCCCCTACGAACCTCCGCGGTTCCGAAGCACGTGGACGGACGCGATGTCCGAACCACCGTAAGTACCTACCACCCTGTCTTCCATCACAAGCAGGACTGACCTCTTCACAGATCATGCTTCGAAACATCCCAAACAAGGACGGCCAACCTCCTTCGGCGCAAATTGTTGGCGCCTCTCTCGGGAGGCCCGATTGCTTGTTTCGACTCAGGTTGGCCGGAATTGTTTGGTGACTTTGTTGTGAGCCGCTCCGATCCCCGTCGCAAGGCGGGTGAGTGTCGGCCCTGGTTCTCGGGGCCCACACGAGGAGCGCCTGGCTCGAGTCCAGCGAGTGTAAGTTCATCTCCAACTGTCTTCCACGTCCATCTATGACGGAACTAATCTATGTTTGCATAGTGAGGGGACTGAGCATCGCATTGAGCGGTCGATGGATGTGATGGTCGCTGCCCGACGCAGCATGTACGGCGCTGACATGCTTCCCCGTACAACCAACTTCGGGGTGACCCCTGAGGACGCCCGCGAGCTACACCAGAACCAGCATCGCAGCGATCCGAAGTTGGTATGTCTCGGTCTTCCCGGTGGTTGCATGATGTTGTCATCGTTCTTTTGGTCGGTACGATTCTATGTAATCGTCGGGGGGGCCGAGCATATCATCTATGTAAGTTATCTTCAAAAGAGTTGCCCTCCATCTCAACATGCTAACTCTCAAACAGTTTTTTCCAACACCACCAACTTCGGGGTTACCCCCGAGGAGGCCCTGGAGCTCCACGAGAAGCAGCAGGCTTACAACGCTGCGAACGCCACTGCTGGTAAGGGCGCAGTCACCCAGCAAGATGGTGGCATCTGGGACGGCACCCAGACCAAGCACAACAACCTCATCTAAGCTCGCCACCGACACAACCCTGCCTACGATACCAACGAATTTATGAGTTTCACGAAAGTCACTATGACCAAGTTCTCTCTGTTGATTTAAGCTCTCAGCCACAAGTCTCAACTGCAAATAACGCATCTACCCTTGGCTCACAACCTCGCCAGTTGAACTCGGCAACTACATCACCTAGATTGCCGTTGTCGCTTGCTCGCATACGTCAGCATTGTTGCTCTCTTCGCAAAGACATCCTTCCACCGGCCTCAATCTAAAAAGCTCCCTCAGCTTCTCAAAGAGTACCGGGAAGCCTGTAATGATATCAAAGTCAGCCACCCGGCCTCGTCCTATCATCACTTCAACATCCATCCTTCCCTACCTTCCTTCCTTCCTTCATCAACATCCTTGCCTTGTACCCTCAACATCTTTACCCTCCTCCTCATCATCTTTACCTCTCTTCTATATATATTGTTCATTGCCCGACCAGATCGCAGCCTTGAAGCCCCACGGGGTCTTGTCTCACCACTTTACATATATACACACTGCGTGGCCGACCGCAGCATTGAAGCCCCACGGGCTGTGTCCTCTCGACAATCTATATATACACCGCGCGATTGATCGCAGCATTGAAGCCCCACGGGGTCTGCCTCTCATCAATATATATACTACTGCTCGACCGATCGCAGCATTGAAGCCCCACGGGTCCTGCCCTCGCGGCAGCAGAGCAGTCATTTTCTGGTCAGCACGGGAGCCGACATCGAATTCGACGATTAGTGGCTTGACTATGGACCTTTGTACATGGTAAGTCGACTGTCGCATGAAGTCTATAGTCGCTAACCACAAAACAGAAGCTCTCTCTCTCACATTCAAGACCATGACACTTCTTCTGCATGCTTCAACGGGAGAGCAGACGGTATCCCGTATTTTCCACTTGACTTGCCGCAACTGTGACTGCCGCAACTGTGAGAAGCAAGGACACTTCAGCCGGGGGAAACTCGAGAAGCCAACATTAGTTCAGCTCTCTATCCCAGCTTTGGATCAGACACTTCTCATCGTCATGACAATTGGTAAGTTGTCTTCATCCCTCTCTCCGACATTGACCTTGTACTAATTGATATGTCTAGCTTTGGATCGCCTTGACCTCAGCCCATTTTCCATGCCGAGTCAACCGGAGATTGAAGCAAACCTACCTCACGATTCCTCAACACGCACTATACATTGGCCTTCAATGGCGACGCTCAGGCGACGCGACAAACTTCCCTTTTGTATATTATATTATAAATGACTTCCACTGGACGAGCGAACATTAGTTCCGCTCTCTATCCAAGTCGGGACCAGCTCGGCGGAGATCACCATCAACTGGTGAGTTGTCTTCTTCGCTTCTCATCGACTTGACTCATCACTAACTTGTCAATCAGTATTCCTTCGGTTCACTCCCTCTCTCCTATCTCACAATACATTTCTTTGACTACGGCTGGCCCCTCCACCGCCAACTCACCTCCCACCTCGACCATCTTCAACTCTCCCTCTATGTGCCTGACAAGGCAATGCGAGACTTGTGACTGAGAGCTCAAATCAACAGAGAGAATTTAGCTGGGCTCTGCATGTCATCTTCTTTGGTTACTACTTGTGGTGGACACTTGTGAATGATCAGCGCACATAGCATGCAAACAATTCATATCAATTAGAACATACATCTCCCACAAAAGACCTTGTGAACTCCAAATGTGACTGTCCGCCCCGCCTCATTGCCGCCACCCTCTTCTTCCACTCCGACAACTGAACATCTCTCTCTCTCCGCACCAACTCCTTCGGTGAACATGCTAAGACTGACCGGATTCCCTGCGTAACGCAGAGAATCATGCAGCCACTGCCAAAAACAACACGTGGCCCGAGCCATGAACAGAAGACTTCTCTGTAAGCAACATGTCGCCCTGCGTCAGATCGATCTTCGTCTACTCACGCATGAGAAGTACCCCGGTGATATCTTCACACTCTAAGGCATATACCCGGCTAACCTTTCACTCATTTTCCCAGAAAATCGACGTGCAGCTCCCAACCACGAACCCGTTCTCCCCCGCTTCCGATGATTCCATGACAGCCGCTGTACATCACGACCTTTTGATCTCTCCAGCAAGTGTTCCAAGTAGAAGAGCAAAGTCACCGTCCAATCCTGACCGCGATGCTGGGTTTTGGCGCAAGTCGCAGAGACTCGGGACTACCTGTGGGAGGCTTCAGTATACCACATTTCCAATAAACTAAAGACCAGTTCAGTTGTCTCTCATGTCGAGAGGTGCGAGCCTCGAAGAATCAGAGTTCTCAGCGTGTTCTTCCAACGTTGTCAGACGTTATTTCTACTCTCTGTGTCCAAGCCAGTAGTCACACATGCTTTAGAGACCTTAAAATACTTGAGCTGGTCAGAGGCGTATTGCAGGCTCTTCGTAAGTCCCCCTTCAGTGGAGCAAGCACTTCACGAGCACATCCCTCTTGTGAAAGTCCTGGGCCAATCTTTCCCTGCTGAACGCTTGATAAGGCCAAGAGTTTATTCCATCGTGAGGTTTATCTCCATTTTTGGGACTTTGATTCTGACGTGCTGTTCTACAGATTCATCCTGCCCCAGAGCCGAAGCTCAGTCGCCCGCCCCAGCTTGAGAATGCATGCGAGTGCCCATCATATCGCACATCCGAAGCAAGATTAGAACGTCCAGAAGCTTTCTATCGATGTGAGGAAGACGAAAGAGGCCTCGACCAGTGCGACAGCCTATCCCGAAGCATCTGTTGTTCCGGGGCGCCTCACAGGAGGTCGCAAGATCTACAGCCGCCGTCGTTTACGATGCATTGAGCATCATCAGGCTCGGATGCCAGCACTCGAGACAGCTTATATGCAACACGATTCATGTTAAGGTTCCGGGCTCCTTATGAAGCATTTGACCCTAAGTTACAACAGACTTAGGTGACCTAGCACAAGTTGAGGATATCTTTTGCTGAGTTTCTCTTAATTTCCTACATTAAGGTCTAATATTCTGTTACTCCTCAAAAATAACTAGGCCTTGGTCTTTATGTATGGCGGCCGCGATCGTTTACTTCAGGAACTGAGCCATCAATTGTTACTGTCGAGATACTGCAAGGAGTTCTCTTTGGTGTTTCGACAGAAGGGATAAAGCTTGGCAAGTACGAGCAGGCCATGGCTGACAAAAACTATTTGTGTACTTCGGCAATTCATTCAACATTTGACCATCCAATATCTGTTCTGCATCAGTGTCTGTCTTCCATCCCTTTCGTCTCTTCAGCCACGAGCATTCATCGTTGACTGTGAGTCTATGCACCAGGATCCGAGGATAAGTCGCACCTGGTCTCTCCCCAGGAGGACTCAACTGCGATATTACCCCATCATTGATAGGAACATGGTTCAACTGTCACAGGACAGGCAGCTCGACGCTCACCAGTAGATTCAAGACGTGTTTATTAAAGTAAAGTGTTCAATCTAAGCTAACAAATTGGTATCAAACAAGTCTATAAACAAAAGAGAAGAAAATAGTGGCAAAGCCGGATATCAAAAGCCCATCACGTCCAAGGATCGTCCATCATAGTCCCCCTCTCATACTGTACATCCGCCCGTCAAATCTCTAATGGCTCTTATGTCCGTTAGTCTTGGCACCCTCCTGTCCAACAGCGTTAACACCAGCATTCAACTTTCCGAACTGCCACTCCGGCAGCGTAATACCCGTCTGCTCGTTAATAGTGCTCATCAGCGGCGGCAACATCTGGTACACGTTGCGCATCGTCTCAGTCGCATCACCACCGCCCTGACCAGCACCGCCCTGATTTCCAGTGTTCCACACGCTGATCTTGGGCTCGAGACCGCGGATGGCTGCGGCATTGGCCTTGGCGAGCTCGACGTATGTGCCCTTCTCGATCATCATGTACTGCAGCAGTCCGGCGGGACCGCCGAAGGCCTGCGACAGCTTGCCGTAGGCGTCGGCCATGGCGGAGATACCCTCTGCCTCGCGAAGCTTGCTGACGAGCTCGGCCTCGGCGCGCTGCTGAGCGGCGTAGTTGTAGGCTTCGGCTTCGTTGCGGGTCTGGTAAGCTTCGGCATCTGTGTTCCTTGTGATCTTGGCGTATGTAGCTGCTGCGTCTGCATCTGCGAAGAGCTTGGTCTGGTAAGCTGCAGCGTCGGCCTTGCGCTGACTAGCCTCCTGGTGAGCGCGCGCATCGGCCTCGACTTCGTACGCAGCAGCATCAGCAGCCTGTTGCTTACTCTCCCTCGCAATGGTAGCCTTGACGACATCTGTGGCACGAAGGCGTTCCATCTCAGCAGCAGCACGCTTAATCTCAACCTCCTTCTTAAGGTCCTCATCCTTGGACTCAAGGGTACGCTGGGCTGTGACGCGGGCGATGTCGACATCGCGGGTGAGGCCTGTGCGCTTGGTGTCGAGTTGTGCCTCTGCTTGAGCGCGCTCGATATCACGGACTGTCTTCTGGACAGCGGTCTCGGCGTTAATCTTCGCAATCTCACGCTCTTGCTCACCCTTGCGCTGAGCTTCTCCGACGTTACCGCGGAGTTGAGCCTCAGCTACGTCGATTCTGGCTTGGTTGGTGGCACCCTCGTGAGCTTTGCGGGAGAGCGAGGCGAAGTAGACTGAGTTGGGGGCATCCTTCAATTCTTTGACCTGTAATTTGTTAGCTATCGTGCGAGCAAAAGGGGGGAAAGGTTACATACGTTGGCGTTGAAGATGAGCAGGCCAAACTGCGACAGCTCATTCTGGATGTTTCGGAAGATCCTCTTCTTGAAGACCTCTCGCTCAGTGAAGATCTCCTCCATAGTCATGCTAGACACAAGGACTCGAGTTTCACCCTCGATGATACCCTTGACGATGTTGGCAACATGCTGACCCTGTGTGACATTCTCCTTCTCCTCAGAGTTGGCCAAGAGCATAGCATACTTCATCAAAGCGTCCCCTCGGTCCTCACGATCAAGACCATCGGCTTCACTGTCGCCATCAGGGCGATTGGCCCCGCGCTGGTTGACATCGGGACCCACTGTGAAGACGACGGGAAGAGAGAACTGCAGCTTCTCCTTAGTCATGGCCTGAAGGTCCATGGCATAGTCGTGAGGGCGGATGCTGTGGGGAGTTAGTGAGTGTTGGCCAGTTGGAGAAGGGGGGAGGAATACCTGAAGCGTGTGCATCGTTGGAGAGGCCAGACCCATGTTGCTTTTGTGATCTTGACGGTCTTGATGCCCATGCCAGTGATGGCAAGGTACTCATCGGGGGCAGAGATTCTGTAAGACATCTTGGGTGGTGTTGAAGGTAGAAGAGAATGGAAGTGTAGTTGGGTATTGAAGGATTGAACTGGTGTTGTGTAACCAGTTGTTAGTAGTTATTTGCAGCGAGTGTTGTATATCTCCAGAACCAATGTTACTAGAGAATTATTTGTATAGTATGATCAAAAAGGTGTGTCTCACAAAGCGGACAACCACTCCCTTATATGCTTCTATCCTGACACAGGAACACAAACATGCATGTCTCAAAGCCTGCAAGGGTCATACTCCATGATGAATGTGCCTCGCGCTCAAAGCTTCCAAGAGGTGGTGGCGGAGTCTGGAGTACCCCTGTCAATTCCCAAGTTTCTGGAAGAATTCCATGTCCGCAACGGGTATGCAATGCGGTCCCGTGATCAGATTGAGTTGAGGAATAAGATTAAAGAGAATGAGCTTGTGATGTGATCGCCACTTGGGGAATGCCCGGGTTTGGTGAGTTTCTTTTGTGGTGATGTTGTTGGTTGGGCGTTCTCGGGTGATCTACAGTGGGGTTCGCCTCTAAAGCATCACCGAAGCTTCAGGGCACTCGTGTAAGTTGGCCTCGGGGAGCAAACCATCAGACTTTAGGGTGTAAGAATAAACTCAGCAAAAGATCTCCTAAACTCATGCTAAGTTACCTTAAGTTTTTTTCCACTTGGGATCAAAGTCCCAAGGTCGGTTTCGTCCCAACAAATGTCATTTCCTAATGCGTTTATTGGCAATTAGCTCTAGCGCTTGCTGTTATGCTGTCCATTCTCCCAAACTAACGTTCAGCCGCAAAGCACTATCAACACAGCCCTGTAAACGGACCGTCTGTTTAATTTCCGCGCACATCGCGGAATCAATCAATCAATCACTCAAGCATTTCCTGCCGGTATCCGAATCGAGCATCTTGGCTAAACGCCCGACCGCAATGCTAATACTCACGTGCACAAAACATGATTCGATGATACTTGGAATGTCCCAACACCGCCAAGCCCCCAAATTGCATGACTGAACAACCATCAATTCTGCTGCGCCACGATGAGTAACCAATGACCATCACAGGCACTCCTTCAGGCAGACATGATGTGCAGCCCAAGGCTGTGATGAGAGTTCCCTCCTCTTTTGTGGTTTCGGCGATTGCTAGTTTGACGCTTTTGATACTACGCTTTGAGACGGGGCGATACAAGGCTGAGTTGGTGGTCACTCAAGCGCTATTGATGGTGGGCTGACTGATTGACCTTTTTGTCTAGATTCAGGTTTTATGTATATGCATCGGGCGTTTGGCATTTGCTGTAGCATCGACTAAACATACGTCTTGCAGAATATCCAGACTTGGCTTTCTTCTCATTGCAACATCATGTCTAAGCAAGACTCCTTCGATGGCGGGGATCTTCCTCCCCCGTACACTGAATCCGGCCCCTCAGCATCACTACCTTTATCAGAACCACGACAGTCAGTCACAACTATCTTCTCCTCACATTTGAACAACCTTCCCCTACGCATTCAATCCGTTCAAGCAGTTCGCAACTCAGCGCGCGATGAACGGGACAGTGAAATACTCACCCTGCTGGTGCCTCACATTGAGGATATGCTCTCGTCAATAGCGGCCATGGATCCGCCACCACGAGTCGTCGAAATGACCATGGTGCCAGAAGAAGCAGTTGGTGAAGGGTGGTTCTTTAGCGATGAAGATCAATCCCGAACCGTTGTGCGTGTTAAAGAAGATCGCAAGCTAGTAGGCGACCAAAAGAAGCCTGTTAAGCAAAGTGAACCCCCAAAAAACAGAGCTTTCGACGAATGGGGCCGATGGGAAGACGACACCCAAGAATCGGCCTCAGACGACGTTCTCTGGTGGTCAGATCACGACATGGCAGTCCGTCTCGCAAAGTACATTTCCCCAGAACGAGTAGACCGTCAGGTCGTCAAAGCACACGTCGAACAAGCAAAGAAAGCATCAAGATGGGGCTTATTCAAGAAATCTGAACCATCGACACCACCGGCGCCAGTAGTAAAGGCACAGGAGGAGGAACCGGTTACTATGACGGTCAAGGCTGAGGAGGTTACGTTTCGGCGGGAGAACGAGATGGGTATTTGGGAGGGCAAGACAGGATGGGGCTTGGTGGTCAAGGTCAAGTTACGGCAGTGATGGCGATGTTGGACATGGGCTGAGAATGAGGGCATTGTGAACACAGGATATATATAGAGTCTATTGGGCAACGAAGATATGAACATTTCAGAGAACATTCTCTGCCAGCCAGCATCTTGTCAAGTTCAATTGCGGATGTGACTCGGAGATCTAATTGAGTCCTCACTGCTACCTGCATCAGACTGGTAAATGTATTCCATCAAGACACGCCAAGTTCAACAGTTAGACTTGGCAGAATAAAACATTCTTCTCTAGCCGATATCACTCAGTGACACATTGTATCATCTCGGGGTCTTTTCTGTGCATTGGCGCGCGGCATGTAATACAGTGAATGGTTAAGTTGAACCATATCTTCACTACTCCCCAAGGTGAGTGAATGCTGACAGCACACTCTGAAGCTATCACCAACGACAGAATCACTTTTAGAGACTCCATAGTACTTAAATATAAGACCAAGACTCCATAGACATCATATATAGGGAGCTAGGCCTTCACAGAACACAACTGTAAACACCTCAATTCGGCCTCACACCACGTCGTGAAACTCACCCTGCCTAATCTCACAGCAACATCTCACAACCACTGTATCCCCTCTCACAGCATCCATCCTCACCATCCGTTCCCTTTTTTCCGCCCTCGTTCGTGATTCACCTCTCTTCGTCTTAGTGCCTGACTCACTCGCCGACCAAACCCCACCTCATCTACAAAACCCTCACCTTCACCCATAACCACCTCGAAAAATCGTTTGAACCTCCTCCTCCTCCTCACTTATCCTGCAGACTCCGCTTCCAACATCATGGCTTACAACGTCCTCGTAACAGGCTCATCCGGCCATCTCGGCACAGCTCTTATGCTCTCCCTCCCGACATTCGGCTTCACGCCACTCGGGATCGACATCTTACCCTCTGAGAACACAACACACGTTGGATCAATCTCAGACCGTGAATTTGTAACATCTCTTCTTCAGAAACACCCCATCCAGCATGTCCTTCACGCTGCGACGTTGCATAAACCCCATGTCGAGAGTCACTCCAAGCAAGACTTCATCGACACAAACATCACTGGTACCCTCGTCCTTCTCGAAGAAGCCGCCAAGCTCGACGCCCAGATCGAGAGCTTTGTCTTCTTCAGCACAACAAGCACATTCGGCGCAGCACTGAGTCCCAAGCCCGGCCAACCCGCCGCCTGGATCGACGAGACCGTCGTCCCCATTCCCAAAAACATCTACGGCGCTACAAAAGTCGCAGCAGAAGATCTATGCTTCCTCGTCCAGAAGCAAACAAACATGCCCGTCGTCATTCTCCGCACGAGCCGCTTCTTCCCAGAGCAGGATGACGATGAAGATCGCAGAGCAGCTGTCTCAGACGACAACCTCAAAGTGCTCGAACTAGCGTATCGCCGCTGTGACATTGAAGACATTGTCCGGGCGGCAGTCTGCGCGATGAAGAAAGCGCGGGAGGTCCAGTTTCGGAAATACATCATCAGCGCGCCGCCGCCTTTTCCCAACGATGTTGACACGCTGGCGATGCTGGACAAAGACCCTAAGCAGGTGTTTGAGGCTGTTGCGCCGGAGTGTGTGCAGGTGTTCAAGGATAAGGGGTGGAGTCACTTGAACAGGATCGACCGGGTCTATGATTCTAGCAAGGCGGTTGAGGAATTGGGTTGGAAGCCGGAGTTCACGTTCAACAAGGTTGTCGAGTTGATTGGGGAGGGCAAGGAGTGGAAGAGCGAGTTGACGGGGAAGGTTGGGAAGAGAGGATACCATGCTGTCAGCCATGGTGTTTACACTTTCCGATGAATTAGCGGTCCGAGAATTGGCATTGGAGGGGGGATACAGCGAAAAGCTTCACGATGGTTTTGGGACGAGATACAATTGACACTAATGATACTGGGTCCTCAGGAAGCAAGGAAGTATCAGACCATGATACAGAAAATAATCTCAGCAAAAGGTATCCTAAACTTAGCAAGGATATCCTAAACTTATGTCAAGTTGCCTATTAGTCTTTTTTGCTATTAGGATCGAGGTCCTAAGTGTTCTTTCCTCTCCTAGTGGGTGTAAACAAACTCGTATTCGCCATGTATGCTATGTCTACTAAACAGCCCTCTAAAATCAGGGTATCTACCTATACAGCTCTCTTTTCCTCAGCCAAACTTGATTCCAGAGTTGGGATTCCACGTCCCAGGTGCAGGAGGCTGGCCTGAACCACCAGACTGACCAAACTTGATACCCATACCAGGAGTCCACATTGCACCAACCGGCGTTGGTTGCACTGGCTTTGGCTGCTGTACCGTCTCTCCCCAAGACTGTATGTTTGCCTGAGCTGGACTCTGCACAGGCTGAGGGACTTGTTGCTGTGGTGGTACATATGAGTGGGAGGGGTCTTGGTGTGACGGCATTGGGCTTTGGGCAGGAGGTTGTTGGTGGGAGATGTTAAGGTTTGACAATGTCGGCATGTTGATTTCTCTGTGATTTCGGTCAGTAAACGATTCGTATCAAGGTCATGGAAAACATACTCTTCCAACGCTCTGGCCTCCATGCGGCGCTGAGCCACCCAACCGCGAATAACATCACGGAAGCCCTGTCCAACAATCTTGTTCAGATCATTGTAGAACTTGCGTCCAACTTCGAGGTTGTTGATAATCTCCTTGTACTTAAAATAGGCATTATCAAGCTTCTGCAAAGCCACCTCGCGTTCTCGGTTACCGCGCTCACCCATTTGTCGCTTCTGCGACTCAAATTCGCGATTGATACGCTGAACATCGGCCAACAGACGTTCTTGGTCTTTGGCCTCCTTTTCAATCGCTTCAACTTCGGGCTCATACAACTTATCAAGTCGTTTGTCGAAGAACTCTTCAAAGTGAGCCGGGACGAGTGCTGTGTTAGGATACGCTCGCTCCAATCGGGCTGCTTCCTTGAGAATGTCCGGCTTAATGTCATCACGCCGAGCGTTTTCTCGCAAGCTTTCAACCTTCTTGCGACGACGGCTCTCGAGACGAAGAACGTCGTTGTATGCGCCGCGCAATCTTCCTATGACAGGCTTCAATGTCTCGGGTATGTCAACCCGTCGGCTCGACGGCACAGAATCCATCAGATCTCGGTCCGGTCCGGAAAGGATAGCAAGGAGATCCTGGATCGAGCCGAACTTCTCCCTGACAACTGCATCGCTACTGATACTGCTCTGGAAGTAGCTCTCGATCTCAGAAGCGTGCTGCCAGAGCTTCCCACCTTGAGGATCTTGCCGACTCTCGGGTCGCACCCATCGGTCTGTTCCGTATCTCATCCGTAATCGCTGATCTTCCTCTTCCTCCGAAGCTAGAGCCGCTTTGCCCTCTTCGAAAATCGCCATATCTCCAGACCGCAACTTGTCAATATCCGCAAAGCCCTTTTGTACTCTGCCAATGGCATCTGCTTGTCTGATCTCCTCAGCATGTTGGACCAAGCTTGGCGGTAGACCCAGAGGTTTCTCAAGTGCTTGTAAAGATCCAGGTAGCCCGAGAGATGTGAGAATTTCATGAATCTTTTCTGTGAGCGATTCAAGTTCCGGGATAATATTCTGGCTGACCATGCGATCACGTCGTTCCTCGTAAATTGATGTGGCGACGTGCACCGAGAAGGGGACAAGTCGAGAGAACAAAGCTGGCCCGAACTCGGCGTGATCTCCAAAGTAATCATAGGGGTTGGCAACTTGCGGTGGCACCCGAGCTACGGCCATGTTTGCGCGATCCAGAATTTTGAGCTCCGACTTTGGTGGTACAGCAACTGCAAATGTTAGTACTCTGACAAGCAAGGGTGGTGAGCGTACGTACTCAGGTAAATAACATCGTTGTCCTTCTCTGCTCGCTTCAAATCCTCCTCAACCTTGCGCTTCAATCCATTGAGGTCGTCAACCACCGTCTTGCCAAGATAGCCACTTCGGGCCTCCTTAATGCCCTCCGTCGCACAAGCAACGGCGTCTTTGAGTCGCGCAACCTCCTCTCCATATTTCCTCTTCTCGAGACAATCGCACGCTGCTCGGTATTGAGCAGCAGCGGCAAAGTGGTGATGCTTGGCGCTCATGTGGTGGATCCAGGCACTGCTTATGGCTTCGCTCTTCATAGCAGCTTCACCAGCAAAGTTATACAGGTCGGACACTCGGGCTGCGAGCTTTGCAATTGACGCGTCTTTGTAGCCGTCCATAACAGCTTTCTGCCAGAAGCATTCTTGGCTTTGGGCAAGGAGTAGCTGGATCAACGACTCGAGTGTGTCGTGATCCATGTCTTCGGGAGGATCGGACATTCGTAGTTCGGGGAGGATCTCTTTTTGCATGTGTGATAGAACGCCAGCCGCGAGGGAGAAGTAGTTCGCTGCTGATTTGAGGCCTTCGGTGTTACCTCGAGGCGTGTTAATAGCGAGCTGGGAATAAAGGGAGGCGAGGTTGTAGAGAATGTTCATAAGCTCGTATTTGAGGTTGTTCCGCACCATAGGACGCTCGGTATTGTATCCAAGCGTAGGATACCACGAAAATTCGGCGCCAATCTAGTCATCAACGTCAGTTTGTTGTGCAGTCGTCCAGCATCGCGTGACACTCACATCTATGGGAAACTTGCCCCCAACCCAAACAAGCTGCCCGGCATAAGCTTGCAGCTTCTTAATGCCGCTCGGATGCGGTTCTCGCACATTCACCGCATCGCGTCGAAGTGCATCAATGACCTCGAGGTCATGCTTGAACATATCTGGGTGCTGGTCATATTTGGTGTTGATATACTGTCGTATCGTCGAGGCAAGCGAGAGGTGAGTCGACTTGCGAAAGGGGATGGATAGGATGTTTCTGAGGAGGGAGGGAATGTTAGCTGGGTTCAGGGATTTCCAGTATAGCTGGTTCTTCTTACGACGACATGGCTTCGTTTGCGAACCTGAGGGCGGGTTCTTGAGCCTTTGTGTTGTAAAGTCAGCTTTCTTGCCAAGATCGCTGGGCTAGAGCGTTGCAATGACTTCATCAGAGCTTGGAGCTTGTGGAGGCGCCACGTTGGAGGGGCAATGACATACGATGTGGCGCAGCAGTCGCTACCCTAGAGTCTTCGGACCAAAAACTCTTGAAGTCACATGGGGAGCAAGAAAATATCAGACTTTAGAAGAGGATGCTGAATGAACTTAGTAAAGAGCCTCCTAAGCTTAGGTTAAATTACTAAAGTCTTTTCATCCCTTAGGATAAAGATCCGGACTTTTCTCATATCGTCCTGGAAGTATAAACTGGGTTCTATGTCGGGATCGAAGACGTGATGTTACTATGGTATGGAGCGGTTGCTGTCATTTACCGAAAAACAGGCAGACGGAGTACCAAGTGTACAACTAACCAGGATTATCGGTGATGTTATTCACGCATTTCATCTACATACTTCTATAAACATCATGTCAAAGACGTTCGCATAGAGTTCAGCAGATCGTGTTCGTGTTCAAATAATGCAATTGTTATTTTGGCTAAAACCACTTAGAATTCCATAGCAAGAAAATAATCAAAGTATTGCCTCCCTCAGTCGTGGTATCTTAACAATATCCGTTCTCATCTCTAACGGTACTTCACATCTCCAACTTCAGGTCGGTGAACTCCATCATCGACGTATCCTGGAGGCTGCGTCTGTCCCGCACTAGCTCCCGACGCCACCGGCGCCGAAGGATCGGAAGGTCCGGTGGAAGTGGGGTCCCGATCGGTCGGAGACACGGAGTTGACCTTGAGAGATCCAACCTCAGCACCCTTCAGAGTCTCGAGAAGGTTGCGAGCACCAGCCGGCCACATACCGCTCTGGCGGGGAACCTCTCCTCGGATGATCTGCTCGACTGAGACGCGCTCGCCGTAGAAAGCAGCGTTGGCATCCTTGCGCTCGACGACGACGGTGCCGTCGACTTGAATGCCTGCGTAGAAACCGCGGGACTTAACGTAGGAAAATACAGGCTTGAAAGCGCCGGTGCTCAAGCTGCGGCGCTTCTTCTTCTTGTCGGCATCGGTCTCTGGCTTCAAGCCTTGGTTGTCCTCGGTAGGGCGGGGAGGCTTGGGTGGAGCCTCTTCGTCCTTGTTCTCCTTGTCCTTCTTCTTTCCATCCATAGCGGCACCAATCTCAACAGCACCGCCAGCGCCGTATGGACCAGCGACAACAGCAAGGTCACTTCCCAGAGCAACACGAGTCTTGGCGAAAGCGTTGAGAGCCTCTCGGCTGTTGATAACACAGACACAGTCGTAAATGTCAAGACCGATCATGAAACCTGCGCCGACAGAGTGGACTTGGATACCTGAAGGAGGACCCCATGATCCATCAGGGAGACGAGAGATCAAGATACCCGAACCAGTGGCACCAGAGAAAGCGTAGCCGGCACGAAGGGTTGTGAAGATAGCCAGACCTTGGGCCTTGGCAATCACCTTGGGAGGGATGTTGACAAGAACTCTCTTCTTGGGCTTCTCTTTGGTGGGATCAATGATCTCGTCATTCGTCTCCTGTGCCTTGGGGTCTGTTGATGTGGGAACCTGGCTAGAGCTAGGATCGGCGTAGACACCGTTTTCTAGAGTATGTTAGCGGATGTTCTGGTCAAGCTGTATGGGTGACTTACTGCAGAAGGACTTCAAAATAGAAGCTGCCTTGTCACACTCCTTGTCGATGGTCTCGGGGAGGAAACTCTGGCTACCAAACTTGTGGGCTAAGCTATTGATAGGAGCAGCCGCCTTGATACCAAGCTGGCTGAACTTTTCGCTCCAGCCGGGCTTCTTGTGCGTCTCAGGATGCGCGGAAGTCGAAGCCTGGGTTGTGGTTGTCTCGGGGCCATGACCGAAGCCGTGGCCATGTGTAGGAGCTGTAGGACTTGGCTGAGGAGGCGCCTGAGCCTGAGCTGGCTGGTTCGTAGGAGGAGGCGCAAAAGTAGGATGAGCAGGGTCGTACTGCGGAATAGCGTAGTTTTGCTGGGCCTGCTGAGACTGCTGAGCGTCAAAGGGCTGGTGAGTCTCCTGATGCTGTTGAGGCACAGCGACTGGGTTGCCCTGGAGAGGGTTCGGGTGAGCAGCGGAAGCTTGATGTTGATCTTGCGCGGGAGGAGGACCGGGAGGAGGGGGAGGGAAGTACTGCTGCTCTAGCTGGCGCTTCTCATCTGCAGCACTGGGATATTGCTCTGCTCCGGCAGTGGACGTAAACGGAGGAGGTTGCTGCTGGCTCTGGGATCCTGCGAACTGGACATGTTGGTCGGGATTTTGGGGTACGCGGGGCTTCTCGTCTCCAGGAAGCTCAGCAGATCCTTGGTTGTACGCTGGAGGCAGAGAGGAGTCTTGAGGTTGATTCTGGGAAGGGTTGGCGGTAGGAAGCAGACCACCTCCATGCTGGTCGCCAGCGGAATACTGGGGGGCTTTCTCAGGATTCGACATCGGATTATAGGTACTAATGTAAAGCTGTAGGTGTTGTAGTTGTAAGGTTTGAAGTTGAGAGTCAATGGCGGGGTAGCTTCGTGTCAGGTATAAGAACTAGGAACAGGGAAAGAAAGTGGACTGAATCTTAGGTTCTGGGTGAAAGATGTCTTTAATAGACGAACAGGTATTTATTAGGGACGATTCACTGATATGAGAGGCCTCGTCACTTGTAGACTCATGAGTGGCGTACGAGACAATTCGAAACCGGTTCCATGACCTGCAAGGAACCTGAACCATCCTGCGACAAGCCGCACGCGATTGATGTCATCATGGTGGCTTGGCGATAAGGTGCTTGCGTGGCTGAATTTCAGGGTCCTACACAGCCACCATGTCAACCAATACGAGCTCTTCCACCATAAACCAGAGGGAAATTGTTGGGGAGCATGTGAAATTGGGGAAATATTGAAATGACGGCGATGGTGACTTATCTAGATATTTTGTAGATGCAGCGTCTTGTATGATGCGCTGGTGCACGGAGATCATCGCTGTTTTTCGGAGCCCGAAACGGGTGTCGCTCGGGGAATGCTAGGAAAGCTTACCCGAAGCCGGTGATCCTCGGTTTATGCTTACACAAAGACCGAAACGCTGTCTTGTAAACTTCATTTCGCAACCGTGATAATAGCACATTCTCTTCAGCTCCTGAGAGTGACATTTGTCACTAGACTTCCACCATGACACAAATACAGACCTCTAGCGATCCAGAGACTCTCCATCTCCCCCGCATTCTCTGCCTTCACGGCGGCGGCGTCAATGCACAAGTCTTCGAACTACAATGCCGCGCTCTCATCAGAAGTCTCGCTTCCTCACTGCGTCTAGTCTTCATGCAAGCACCCTTCATCTCAGCGCCTCACCCAGATATTGTCAGCGTCTACGGTGAATACGGCCCTTTTCGGCGCTGGCTCCGCTGGCAGCCCGATCATCCCGAGATTGAAGCAGAGGCCGCCGCCGAGCTACTTCGGAACCAGACCCGCAGGGCTATGGACACCGACCCCGGCACCGGGGAGTGGATCGGCATTCTGGGGTTTTCGCAGGGCGCTAAGATTGCGGCGAGTTTATTGTGGACCCAGCAGAAAGTGACGGAGCAGTTTGGAGCTGAAGAGGCTCTGACGCAGTTCAAGTTTGGTGTCCTCATGGCTGGGAGAGCGCCTTTGATTACTCTGGATGCCCGGCTACAACATCCTCCAGCGGTTGTTGATGCGGCACTGTTGAGCTCTGAGTTCAAGGACTTCCCCGAGTCGAATGTTGGCGACCACGTGCTGAGCATACCTACACTACATGTTCACGGACTTCGCGACCCGGGGCTTGAGCAACATCAAATCTTGTTGAAGACGTACTGCGCAACTGGTACGACATCATTGGTTGAGTGGGACGGGGGGCATCGCATACCGATCAAGAGCCACGATGTCGATGCTGTGACAATTGAGATCATGAAGTTGGCAAAGAACACAGGCGTGAAGCTGCCGAACTAGACTTGTTTGTTTTATTATAAATTTCCTCTCTTTCTGTTCAAGGATGGAATTATGGATCACAGGTATACTTATAGATGTCCGAGCGGACCTTTTACCAAATTTTCGTCTTGGAGGGAGCTTAACAAGCCTGTTTGTAGATGATATCATCTGTTTCAAAGCAATTATTTCAGACCCATATAGCCTAGACTGTACAGCCATTCCAATTCGGGTTCGCAGCCGTCCTTTTGGGTGACAGCGCGTCTTCCTGCTCCTGATCCAATGACCGGGCTGAGCTGCTGTATACTAAGTCCCAACATCAAATGAAGATGTGGGCTAAGATGTCATGCATAAAAATCTGCCTTGGGCGTTGTCTCAGGCTCTCGCGACCCAGGCAGCATTTTCTTGTTTCCCAGTCTTTATTTATAGATCGGATAGTTAACTTGGATTCCTTCTCTCTCTCTTTCCTCGAGACCACGCTTCTTTGTGCAAACAAAATGACGACAAATCCAGGCTACAGGCAATTGGAGCCATGGTTATCACAAATTCGCTTACTCCACCTCCAACCTCTACGAAACAAAGATCACCGATCATCAGCACCATGGTATAAATGTGTCAGCCTCGAATGCACCTTCGAGACAGTACACTTAGCCAACGCTCCACCCTATGAAGCCCTATCATACACATGGGGCGACGAAGCTGCCTCGATTCACATTCTTTTGAACGGCGAGGAATCTCTAGTACGGCCTAATCTAGCCTATGCTTTGGCTGCTCTGCGTATCTCAGAGCCTCGAGTGCTCTGGGTTGACGCACTATGCATAAATCAACAAGATAACACAGAGCGGAATCATCAAGTTGGGATGATGGGCGACATCTTCCGTCGAGCAGAGCGAGTGTTGGTCTGGCTTGGACGACCTAGCTCTGGCTGGGACTCATCAGTTGCAGGCGCTCTAGAAATGGCAAAGAAATTTGGTGAAAATCCTCCGACTTCGAAACTTCCACCGCCGCCGCCTCAACCCGACCTCCTTCACGAATCCCAATTTCACCAATGGATCAGTCTATTCCCACAAGACATCGAAGAACGGAAGAACGAGGAGAAACATACGAAAGGTTCAAGCGAGTCGAGTGCATCACCATTGCAAGAACGCCTAGATCAGAAACGACTACGATGGAATCGAATGAGAGATGAGCATGCGCGATACGAACTGAGAGAGAAAAGACTGCCAGCTATGATGGAAGACACAAAGAAATACCTGCCATGCTTAGCGCAAACGAAACAGAAACTGGATGAGCTCCAAGCTGAGGAGCTCAAACAACAAGAGTTGCTCAACGACCTAATGATCTCGGAATCTAAACAGCTCACCCTACTACATGCACCTCAGCAGCGACTGTTACAAGACTTTAAAGGTTGTCAAATGCGAGACTACCAAGAATTTAGCATTGCAGGCCTTCGAAAGCCGCCAGAAGCTTGGGAAGTCCAGCAAGGTGTTGCTCCTGAACTTGGAAAACAATTTCGCCTCATCACCCACATTTCTGGTGAAGATGGTCAGGAGCAAGGAATGACAGAAAGGCTATTCTGCGAAATACTAGTCGATCTGGGGAAATTCCAGCGGTCGATTTATGACCTTCGTGAGCAGCTGCACAGAGAAGGGGTATCGCCACCGCTCAGAGAAAGGATCTGGCGACTCGAGAAGATGCAACAACTTGATATGGACCAGCGCCGTGGCCTTGCCAAGTTACGGGATCAGTTACAGGCATGGCAAGAACCAACAGACAAACATTACGGAGCAGGCCTGGAACTACTGCAATCGCAACTCGGGAAATTTGAACAACGAGTGGAAGATTGGGAAGCTCTTCAAAAGGTCCAAATAAACAATCTAGGAGACCTGCCCAAGTTCACCACTGAGCAATATGAATCATTACAGAGCTTCATAACACTACAACGCCAAGATCTTGAGGAGTTGAAATTGAGCCTGAGGACAGGTGCACTGTTGCTCAGCCCTAGCTTGGGTGCGTTTCTAAGAGAAGAGGAAATTCAAATCTCAGAGAAAGTTAGGAGTATCAAACAGGAAATTCTGAAACAACAAGTCGTTTTGCGAAGTACAGAGCTGAAGAGGTGGGGAATCGAGGTGGTTGTTCAGCAAAGTGACAGGTGGCGCTCAAGCATATATGAGATGGAAAGGCAGCAAAAAATCGAATGGGGTATCCGAGAAGAATCTCTCAAAGCTCAGTTTGAATGGGTCCAACTCTGGCGGGACATGGTAGCGTGGGAAGCCAAGGAATGGCATGATCTTGTCTTTAGTCAGACTGACACACCTCTCGGCTTCCCAGAACTGAATCTGCTCAGCCTAGAAAGTATTTGCCGCCTACCATACTGGAGCCGCCTTTGGATAGTTCAAGAGGTGCTCTTGGCGAAAGAGTTGGTTTTGTGTTTCGGAGATAACGCCAAAACCACGACACCTTGGGATCTACTGACCAGAACCCGAGACTCCTTGGAGCAGATGCCAAGCTTCTGGCAATTTGCTCCAGCTGTCAGCGCATCTATAAAGGAGATTAAGCATGCTTTTCCGCTTCGGTTGGACCAACTACTCAAGGATAACGGACGATCCTGGCCACTACACAAGCTTGTGGATATTACTATAAACTCCTTGTGCCACGATCCCAAAGACAAGGTATACGGTCTTCTTGGGATTACCAGCGGTTTTAGATTTGGAGATTTCGACGTCAGATATCAGGACCGGGTGGAGGATGTTTACTGGAACGCGATTCTATGGTATCATTCAAAGCATGGCGAGGAAGTAAGCTCTCCCAACCTTGTGAGTTTTAGCCAGCTTCTACAACTGTCGCTCAAAAACGCCGATTCTTCTCCACTGTCTCTCGATGTGAATCGATTGTCGGTATCCACGGGAAGTCTCTGCATGAAGAAAATACTCACTAGCCCTATTCTGCCCATTGAGAAATTGATGGGGGACAAAGACTTATGGCAAACACGACGGCGGGACTGGATCAGTACTCTAGTTGAGTATCTCGACGATTCAGGCTTTCGGGGACCAAAGACAGCCATAGAGGAGGAAATATTGTATCTTGACTCGGTCAGTACGACTTTGTCCATGACGACTTCCTTAGCATACGCAGTTACAAATGAAGATGTGTCCAACGAAACCAGCTTAGCGATATGTCCCCCCCATGATAGACTAGGACAAGGGAATGGACCGCTTTTCTTCGTTACTGACGGAAAATTCGGTATCGCGTCAGCCTGCATCAGAGAAGGAGACCTCCTATGCCGATTTCCGGGCTCCAATCTAGGCGTGGTTCTTCGCCGAGGAGTAGGTCAGTACAACTTGGCCAGCAAAGCAATCATGTCGTCCATCACGAAAACGAGCATGCCCAATATCCATGACCAAACTTTACTTGACCGCCCAACAGATTTCACAGTTGAACCGACTCGGAGACAATCAGTGGCCAATGGAGAGAGTTCTGTGGATTTGATGCTTGACATCACAACAATTCTGTCTCTTACAAGTCCTCTGGATATCGTCAGCAAACATGAAAAACGAGAGCCTCTGTGTATTCAAGAAACTTCATTTGAGTGGTTCGAGTTCGCCGAATGGGGACTTGATGTAGCTCTATGTCAAGATCAACAAGTCCAGACACCAGATTGTCCGCCAAAGGCCAAGCAGGAACCAAATCCCGCAAGTACTGAAAAGTTCAAGGCGAGGACAAGTGTCGTATTCCCTAAGAAGACTTTGGTGACCGATGATGTGTCGAAACTGATGTCGGTCGTAACCAAGGTCAGCCTGGATATTGGTGAATCACACCCGGCATTTCACTATCCCGATCCTAGAGTCTCGACAATCCTCGGCTCTAACACGCCAGTCAATCACTCCACTACGATGGCAAGTCCATATAAGGAGTCTCATAGACCTAAAATCAAGCATGGACCGTCGTGGATGGTGGAATCGCGATATGGATTGAGGTCAGCAATGCTGAAGGCGTTATAGATTTCAGGATCAGGGGCAAGTTTAGGCTTTTTCCATTTAGTGGTGATATTTGGCAGTAGCTATGTTAATTGAAAAGTCGCCGACATCCATCAAGCAAGGACTTACATTTATCGGTCTGCTTTTCCATTCCACCCAAATCTCTCCAGGGTTCATAACAAATTTCCTCTATATTCGGGAACCGTGTAAGCATGTTGCTATTGCGACTGGCTTCCATCGTCGGCGAATCTGTTGACGAAAGAGCACGACTCCAACGACAGGCACACTGGGGAGACTCCGCCACCACTGCCTCTCAGTTTTGTCATCATAGAAAGGCTCCTCACCCATGATCTCTTCAAATGTAAGCTCGATGGCGTGTTCACCCGGAGCAAGGATAGGCTGTCCAGTAACCCAGCCATGAGCCGGGTCATTCACGGTCGCTCCATGTTCGTGCCCACGACGAGACGGCTCGCCTGTGTCGGTGTCTGAGGAGAAGCTTATGTACTTGAACCAGTGCTGGTTGTCACTGGGCGAGTAGATGCTGATATCGAGGACCAAGTCACCACGAGGCTCCCATGCGCTCAGTGTTGTGAACAAGTTGTCAAACGCGTCCACGATGAATTGGTTGTCAACCTCGTCCAAGCCCCATTGGTCCTGGTCATTGTTCTCACATTGTGTGCAATCGTATTGCTTTAGTTCAACACAAAACCAGATATTGCGAATTTGGTTTCTCTTTCGGGCCAGAATAAATCGAGAGTCAAGGTCGGTAAGACGCGGTACCGTCAGACTCATCTCAGCAAAGTTAAGTGGCTCGATAGTTGATCGCCAAGCTCGGGAAACAGTCGCAAGCTGACTGCACTTCCCGCCGAGAATTGTGAGCAGACCAACAGTCTCGTTCTGAATCTGAGAAGGGAAGCGACCCCAGGGTAATCTGTACATAGCCATTTTTTATCAGACTTGCAGAAGGTTGAGTATCAAGATCGCAGTTGGTGTGGATTGGGGAGAATGTGATGCTGTATAGCTCGAGGATTGGATCTGTGCTCTGAGGTTGAAGAGATTTTGACTGATAGATGGCTACTTCTGCCCTTTTATACTTGATCTCGCTTGACTCAGCCACGACTTTGGGTCTTTGACTCCAGCAGCAAACTTACACAAACTACTGTATAAACTCACCTTGTGTATGTTTTGTGTGCTTTGTGCTTTAAGCTGATCATCTTCACGGAAGATCGGCAGGCAGGCACTTAGTTATACACCTTCAGAGTTACCTATAAGGACATCTAGCCTTTCAGCCAAAAGCAAAATGATAGGCAACAGTAAGGGCGATGAGTATTACCTGTTACTCTGTGGCTTGGGTCTGAAGCTTCTTTCAAATTTCTCAATCTTATTACACTGGAAAGTCACAAAATTAAGTAACGACTATAGGCTCAAGCTGTCATAATTATTTAACCAATGGCTGAGTATTTGATCTTTATTTTATTTCTGATTTACTAGTAAGGCTGTTGGAGACAGGTATCCGTGGTGTAGCTGCGGTGTGTTGGTTATTAGGGTCAGAATTAGGGTCAGATGACTGGTAGGCTTTCTATATATAAATTATTGAAGAGCCAGGTGTCTTTGATGTCTATTTACCTTCATCTCATGGCCAGCCAAGGAGCACAAGACTAGCTCGATGTATCAAAATATCCCATCATGTCCTGCCGCACGAATCGCGCATGGTTTGGCGGTCTCGGACAATGTCAGGGAAAAGTGTGGATGCATACTCAACTATGCCTGTTCGATAAGCAAAAAGACTATGCGGCTGGCTCCAATTACTGAAAGATATTGAATCAAGCAACTTTCCAGAGGAGAATGCCATGGGGTTGCTTATAGGAGAGGCTATGTGCAAAAAGAGCTTTTGGAAGTGCAAGGTGTGGAAAATGTTGACCTGATACTTGGCTAGATATGGCTAATGGCTTTATCCACTAGATAACAGGAGAGCAATAAGCAAGTTACCTTCTAGCGATTTTGCAAATTAAAATGCGGCTGCATTGAGTCCGGTAAAGATGCACTCGTGACTTGGCTTTTGAGGATGATGGATGCTGTAGATTCACGCCATGTGCGCGTCAACTTATATCCTGATAATATCAGTAACCTTGGTATAAGTACTTGGAAAGACTCTGGTGCCGATATATGATGGGAAATCCCCGGCGTTTTGTCAAGCAGTCCGGACGCGGTACGATAGGTAGGTGGTAAGGCCAGCGGTTTTTAGGGTAGGGCATTTAGACAGATGCAAGGAATGTAGCTTCGGTAAGGTGGTGATGCAGTGCGTGGTCTGTTTGTGTGTTCCTCTTACGCAGTGATCAAATGTACTCTCAGTGCGTCTTAAGGTAGTTGACATTGAATCTCGACTTGGCCAGTAAGTCCGGAAGGCCTCAGTTTCTTCCGCCGCACTAGACTTACACTTTCCTATTCTCACTCTTCGCACTACTTCTGTTCCCCCCATCTTCAGCCCGTTACGCTACAAGATATGCCCCCCCCTGTCCCACTTAGCTCTACGGTATGCCTACCGGTTGCTAAACTCCACCAGCCCAAGGCATGGCAAAGGTCTCCTAACCGCAATGAGTCTGGGATGATGTGGAGTGATCGTATCAATGTAACCATCTGGCAAGAGTTCTAGGCGCTCGAATACGAGAAGGGTTGAAGTCGTCGACACGACGTACGTATCAATAGATAAGTTACATTTATTGTCGTGGCCCGATGTAACAGCGACCAGCATTAGTTTTCGGACAATATGAGGCCACTAGAACCGTAGTGCTCCATAGCATCTGACCTTATTATCTGACAGCCTAAGGTACAAGATGTTACTTGAAGTAGATTAGCAAACAGATATTAAACGGATCGGCGCCCCTGCAGGATCGAGGACACCGTCACTCCTCTAGTATCGAGCCTACGACAAAGACCAATCGTCATCCATTGAACTCTGGCGTTATCACACTGGTCTTCATTTATTTAATTTTTCTTCGGCACGAAGCGTCCTCATGAGGCGTTATTATACATCCTTTCGCATCTGAGGATATCGGCACTTGGTTTCACGATAACCGGTAGAACCAGCCGACACCATAAAATGGCGACGGCAGATTCTGGTATCAAAAACGACTGGAAGATGTCATCCAGACGCCATGTAAAAGCGAAATACCGAAATCCGTTTATTTATAGAGACTACTTAATTGAAGTGCTCAGAAGATGGCTTGGATGTATAGTTAGTCATGGAACCGATTATGGTTTCGGATCTTCTCGCGTTTCCGAAATGCTCTCTGTTTTGACTACACACCCCAAAACGTGCCTCAACCTCGCTTTAGCTACCGGAGCCTCCGAGGTAGGGAAAGACAGCGGAATGGCTTTCACCAAAAACCGCTGAACCCGGCTAAAGTCTGTCCGCTGTAGGCCAGACGTTGAACATTTGGCCCTCCAACAGGCCTATCACGGGGCTAGAAAAATGTCGATTGGCGATCTCGCTTAGACGATCCGGATATGCCAGGTAGAGCCTTAGACAGTCTAGACAGTGCAGTGATTAGCCCTATATGTCACTAGCGCATACTCGCGGCTTCGGAGGTCTGCGCGAAGGTGGAGCGCGGCGGTGCCCACTTTCGCCCACATTTCATTTTCACTCTTAATTGGGCTAGCCTAGAACTGTCAACAGGACGTAACGCCTGATTGCACTGGAGACCGGGCAAAGAAGCTCAGCCTCTCTGCCTCTTCAGGCCTTGCTTTTTTCACTTGGTCAGAGGAACGACCTCTGTTCAATATGTTTTTCCGAAGCAATCGATGAAGGTGACAAGACGACGTGCCAACTTGCGTTCTCTCCATCCTCAACGTTTATAAACCCATTCTCCGTATCGCCAGAATCTTATCGGCTCAGCGTGAACCTCGCTGTCGATCAAATTTCTTGGCTCCCTGAGGCTCTCGTTTGTAAATTCAGCCGTACCCCACATGATAGTGGAGGTATTGTTGATCTCATCAGGCTGGGGAGCCAGGGTCTTATCCTCTTGTTGTCCAATCAGTCAGTGGTCAAAGTCTCAAAGGATCTAGAATGAACTGATGTGCGGGCTAAATCTAACGCCACAGCTCGTCATGGCATTGACTTTGACAAACAAGTTGGAAGCAGAACGTCCTGGATCGAGCTTCAAGCACTACCTCCACAAAAGGGACAAAGCCCATTGGACTGCGTTCGTCGAAAAGGTTGCGACTGTGTGTAATTGCAAGGATACATTTCGTACCATGAACTGCCAGGCGACGCTGATCTGCTTAGCACTCTCTGTGAGGGGCGTAGGGTTATGATAAAGCGCTAAACATGCAGGGGCCTTGCAACCACGTGCAAACCGTTCAACCAGTTTTCTCCGACGCTCAAAAGTCTATATCACAAAAGTAGAACTTCGTCGGTCTAAGCCATCGCAAGAAGGCGGTTTAGGATCATCTAATAGAAAGGGATTTCCCCGGAATACACGTCAAGAGGCTCACTGGCTCTATTGGAAGGGCACTGCACTCACTATAGCCGATGAGCACCAAGATAGAGAGCTCCAAACCACGAAGTGATTATTGAGGCTCTTGAGCTGTATTTTGAGGCTGGCTCCTAACTTTGGCTTTATTGAGGACGTCCACTCTGACGTAGTGTGGGTCAACTGTGTGCGAGGCCTTTCCCTTAGATGGTTTCGCAATGCTAGAATCCCGGTTGGCTCATCATGTCCGCCGGAATAGGAACCAACAATGTGATGCAGCTGGACAGTGGAAATGAGATAGCATGTCGGCAACGCTTTAAAACCAAGGAGTCCGTCTCGCAGTGAAGAAACAAGACCTGTATTTACCAGCTTATCTTGTATTCTGGTCAACCCTTCCCTGGCCACTCTTTCACTCTTCCTGATACCACTGGCGATATGGATCCTCCAGCCTCTGCCTTGAACCCCACCGGGTATATGCCAATTGACACAGTCGAAGATGCCCGTGCAGTTGTCACTCAGTGTATCAATGGAGATCTACAGCTAGTTCCTCGCGGCCCAGACGATCGAGAAGCTGCTCAATTCTCGTGGCCGCCGAACGCAGTCTTTGTCTTTGAAGTTTCGGACCAAGCGTCTCGCCCACCCGCATACTTTGACGAATCCGAACCCGAATTTTTCATCAAAGATATCCCGAGTGACACTCAAGTCAATCTCAGACTGAAATCTATAACAATCGTGGTGGACGGTCGAAGATATTGTGTGGTTGCGATTCTCAACTCGCAGACCATTACGAATCCGAATCTGCACTCCAGACAAGAGAACCATTATGGGCATCCTGATTCGCAAATGCTTCGACCCTCAGAGATAAGACTACGCGAAATCTATACGCAGCCTCAAACATGTGTAGCAGGATTGGAGGCTGCTCTACAAGATATGAGAGATTCGGGAGTGGAATGAAGACTACACGACAGCATTGAAGATAAGAGGGTATTTTCAACAGTGCCGAGACTTGAGCCGGGATCAGTCTTTAGTTTCCAAATATCATTTTTGTATGAAGTTTTTAGTTATCAACAGCTTGGATCCTGAATCGCCCATAAAATTGAATGGACTTCGCAAATCCTGCGGGACATGGCTGCCAGATCAATCTTGCCCAGGACATACCTCTCGCATCAATAGCATGTTGATCGCTAGATTGCATCTTTCCCTCCACCGTCTACACAACAATGCCAGTGAGTTTCCTTCTTTCGAAGGCAGCTAGAGGTGGGGTGCGCAAGAGTGTCTCCATGACCATTGCCTCACCGTTGGAGAGTCTAGAAGCGTCCAAGTCCACAACACGCAGTCACCGGGTCGAGCATGATTTCGGAAGGCAGCAAGATAAATGAAGGCAGCTGAATGTGCCGAGCCGTTGGCTTCATCACGCTTTCCCTTGAGAAGCTTATGTTCTGGTCGATCATGCGGTAGATCCGTCGCATCCAGTAGTGTATCCGTCATGAGAAAAGCTAGGACAGATGGAATTTAGCAGACCTGAGCTTGGCGCCACCTTCGGCCTCAACCTCCCCGAAGAATAAACACCGGCCGTATCACGATCAAAGCAGTTCACCCGGTTGATACCTTGGCAGCCAACGCCGAATTACATCGGACCAGTATTGGGGGCACAGGGGAAGCAAGAGCCGCCAAGTAACTCCTAACACCATCAGCCTGAGAGTGTCACACGAATGGAACTGTTCAGGCCATCCCACCATGGGCATAGATGGCTATAGACATGCTGTAGATATTGCACAGCTACTTAGAATGGCTCGTGCTTGATAAACGCAGTGTTGACCATGACTGTCGCGTGGCCATCGTCATCGAGAGGACTCGGAGAAGAGCGGCCCAAGCTATTACCGAGATTCATTCAACTGATTACTGGAATTACTGTAGATACAGACCCGTTTATCTTTCTTCCTCGACAGTACCATCCGGATCGATTGTCGTTTCCGCTCCGCACCGCGTATCAGACTGAGCCCTTGTTATACTGAGTCATGGCCTCCGTGCTCGCTAGTCGATTGTGAGGGATGCCACCCCCCTCAATGGCTTTATTTGTCTTTGAATGCAGGCATCTTGTAGAGCTGAATCGTCCTTCCAAGTATCAAGCCATATAGAGCACAACAAGGTTGAACCCTGTACTCGTTCACATAGATTGATCGCCCAAAGCACCCATCAACGAGCACTGCACTGTCGTCGTTTCAATCGAGGTACAAGTCAATTCCGATGATATTTGTACCCCATGACGTGTTTGGCATGTCTATCATCACTCCGCCTGCTTCCCCGGAGGGTATTAGCAGGGAAAAAGCTCGATACATGGTTTCCCCAGGCAGCGTTAACGCGCAAAACGCATCTATACACAAAGTCAAGATTACGACTGAACCCAGAATTACCATCCGACTCCTGTTTCAACGAAAAGCATGAACATTCCAAAGGATAGTAATAAACAGACAAAAATTGTTATGGGTTGATGCCAAATACGATTGAGCTATACTGAAACTTGGGTGTACACCTGGGGCAAGAATAGCCTTACAATAATGAGTGCCAGATGCAGAGTGACTATCCAAGTCATCATGGGGCGACACTCAGACATGTCTCGCTGAAAGAAACACTTTTCCCATGGTATCAATGAGACATACCCAATGCAGGTACGCTTGACAGACAACACGACACATGGTGTCTGACTGCACGAACTAAATTAACATACACCAAATGTTCGTAGGCAGACCTCGATGCCAAATGTTTTTTCTATAGCCTGGTACAATAAATGTAGTTGGCCAGTTGGATTTGAAGGTTGGCTTGTTCAAGCGCTTCTGAGGCAGTCTGCCCATAGTACTTCGATATTCACAGCCTAAGATGTCAACATGCCGGGACCGATCTAGCCGTCTGTGTTCCTTTTGATGTTGACCAGCGCAACGAAAGCTTCATTGAGCTTGAATGCTATGTCTAGCCGCTAAATATATATAAAGAACAAAATGGTAAAAGGACTGAATGAAAATAGCTAAGCATGTTGATGAGCGGCGCCCCTAGAAGTCCGCGTGTAGAGCAATTGAATGGACAATGTTTGCGTATGGTGTAGATGCATTTCCGGATCAGACACACAATGTTGGACTCCTCACACGCGCTTCTGAAATGTTGCTTGTCCAGCCCCTGAATCTAAAGTTCAAGTTCTGCCAAGTCCTCTTCACACCTTGCGTTACTGGCACAGCAGTTCCATTTGCGAAGCTGTAACATTCATTTGTCCATATTGCCGATTATTTTAGTCTTCTTTGTGATTTATTTACATAGTTTGCAATTCGTCTGTGAACTTCAAACATGAGCCTCGTTCCACAGGTCTCACCATTGCGATCCCCTTTGTAATGCCGCCCTCAAAACCTGCCACATTCAAGCTGAAACCCCAGACCAATAGGTCTTGGAAACATATTTATATGCAGTAAAATAGCGACAAGAGGTCCAGAAGCTGTTTCCGTGGCAGTAATTGAACGATTGCTTTGAGAGCCCTAGCTGCGTAACGATTCTCCCCCCCACTGATGTCTGCGGCTGGTTTAAAATATTGGTTGACTCTCTAGGACCCTAGGTACCTTCGGGAGCCTCCAAAGCTCTCGTACCCAAGCTTCCTTGATGGCCCACGGACGAATCATGTATGATAATGACCTGAATAAGCATAAGCGACATGCACGGCCGCTGACCGGCATGTGTTCAATCGGCATCCTTGCTCTTCATGGTTAGGTTAGCAAAGCAAATTTGATTGCTCGTCTGATCGAGGTTCGTCGAACCAACATGTCGTGAGAGCCAACATTCATAATGTTGTCAGTCTAGCTTTAGCGTGAAGCATCGAACTCCATTCCGGGGAGGTATCCGATCACAATCTAGACATGGGCTGGGGGACGGGGTACGAAGTTCCGCGCATTGAGATGATTGCATCATCTCTTTTCTTAGGGTATGTCGTGCGAAGCATCCTGCTCCTGGTCGAGCTGATCGTCCTTGCTGGCTATTCTTTGACATCTCCGACGCTGACGCTATCAGTCATGGTTCTTCAGTGAATATCTCAAACCAGATCAGTTCGGCGACTTTCATTCCGCTACAGAAGCCCTCTTTACCGAATCTTTTCCACCATCTTTCTCACCCTGACTGTTTAGGACACCGCGCCTTGTTACAGTGTTAAGACTCTTTATCGGTACACATACGCATACGTGTTTCAGCAGCCCTTTAACTAGCCTTTTCTCCTTCTTCTCTCTCATCAGGTGCTGAAATAACCCTCATATGGCCCTGGTATATCGACTTCAAGTCCGCTGGTATGGCAGATCTCGCTACATCGTGCCATTATATCGCGGTCTTTCTACTTGTTTTACAGTGTTTGGCACTGGTATTACTTATCGTCTTTCTCTACTACGGGAGCCTTGGATTCCTTAGTCCTGTGAGACAGATGTTGGCAGAACTGGGCCGTTTACTCAGACAGAACTCATCGAGGACGGTAGCGGAGAAGTGCTTTTGTGTGGTGCGAGTTACGCAACCGTGGTCGTCAAGTTTTGTTTCTTCAACTTAAATAGGATAGTTCAAGTCTTATCCTTTTCGGCTTTGAAGCAATTAGCTTCATCCTCCCTTCAAATCACTTATTAGATACCGATCGACAGCCCGTCTCAGCCTGCTTTCCTGGCCAATCTGATACGTCCACCCCTGTCCTCCACTGGAGCTGCCTGTTGATTCTGGTGACTGCACTGGCTTTGCCGCCCTAGTCTGTCCAGTCAGACTTTTAGATGTAAATGATCATACTCGGTGCACACAGGTAGGATATGTTTTGTACCAGTCCAAAGCCAGGTAATGGATATCAACAGGATTTATTGCTATCTCTCTAAATCTCAGTAAGAACTTAGCAACGGTTTCCTCTATCATCACTTTGCTTCAATAATGCCACACGTGAACCTGGAGTGACCATAAAGATTGACCTGTCCGCTTCTACATCTTCTCAATTAAATAAGCAATAACCGTGGCCGAACTTCGCTCGCTCTTCGTCTGTCATAGAACTAGGAACGTATGCGTTACCCCCGCGGCATCTTCCAATTATGCCCAGGCGTTTGGTCTGACACCTGGCAGACGTGCGAGTGTGCCCCGCGAGGAAGCTGGTGCACTTTTCCGCAGACCTGCCATCAGATGTCCCAAATCATCTATTGCCTAACTTATGGTGGAAAGGCAATACACATCAAAATGGTTCCGCTTGTGTCGTTAGCGGTCTCAGTATCCAATTGAAATGCACTGAATGCCTGCGGTGGGCTTTGTTGTTGAACAGGCTGTGATCAACGCAACTAACAGTTGTTCACCCTGCACGCATCTATGATCATTGATGCTGCGGGAGGCCCACCAAATGACCACATTAGGCTGTCCAGCTTAGCCAAAGATCAAGTTCTCGACTGACTAGGCTGCCGTCGTTTTCCTCGCTTCTAATGTTCAATATTATGCCCCTTCAGTTCCTACATACTCAAGACTAATCCAGCGTCCCGTCAAACTCCTACAGACTTTATCCTAGACCATAATGCCATCGTATAACTAAAAGCGAGTACAGGGAATCGAGAACCTGTCGCCTCACCAGGACACGTCAGATGCCATCAACCAATTGGTGGCCTTGCTTCACCAGTACTGTTCCGACGGCGGTCGATACCTTGAAGGGGGTCATCGGAGAGAACGAAAGACTCAAGCGAAACAAAGCGAAGCTCCGAACCACATGCGATACGAATATTGAAGTGCTTTCTCGTTATCATACCAAGTTTGAAAGACAGAAAGCGGATTTTGAGAAACAACTCAGGTCTCAAAAGGCACAGAACGAGGCAATACTTAAGGGAAAACAAGCAGCCGATGAAAACTTCTAGAATCGGCAAGCTGAATTGATGGCACTGCAAGAAAAGCTCGAGGTGCAATCTTCGTCGGCCAAACAGTTGATGAATTGGGATCAAGAAGAAAGAGTCCACGATCAATGCTCTCGAAGCTACTAAGCTTCGCAGCAGGAAAAGCTAACGAAAGCAGAGAAGGAGGTGGCAACGTTCCAAAGTGAACAGAAGCGAGTAGATGGTCTGAATACAAGCTTAGTAGGAAAGCACACGGAAGATTGGTAACATTTCATTCTTTCGTGGTCAAACTTGACAACTTTGAAGTCAGAAGATCTGAAGTGTATGTTAGAGCCAGATTGCTACTATAACCAATTTCTGATTTGAGTAATGGAAATGCTTTGGATAGTATCTTGAGAAACGCGCTCAGTGTCGTGGAACCGTCCATTGGTATCGCTCTAGACAAAGCATGCCTGACTGACATAGTACTATAGTGAAGGTTTTAAAATCACGTTTCCATCCAGCGCATCATCCTTCTGCTTGCTTCCAATTCTCTAGCCGCTAAACAAATAAGGGTCACCGCCGGTCTCAGGATTTACAGCATGGCTCTCACCGATCATGTCTTCAGATCGACATATCTCACTCAAAACAGCGATTTTGGGAGGAACAAGATCTTGAGGACGTTGACTTAATACTTGGCTAGGTATGGCCAATAGATTTACTTCACAGAGAACTAAGAGAGCATTTATAAAATTACCTTTAAGAGACTTTACCAGTTAAAATAGATTTTGCTTCTAAGGGAAGGATAGTGCCCCGTCCCTCCGAGCCTGTCGAATATGTCAAAACGCATTCCATACACGACTACCGCAGCATGCCTATCTAACAAAACACCCCAAAAAAAGGCAAAAGAAACATACAACACTGGGGATTCGCTGGTCGTCACCGACCCAACTACTGATCCAGCGCTTCGTGGCTTAACTATGGGAGAGCAGACGGGATCCCGTGTTTTCCACGAGCTATGGTCGTATGTGACAGCCGAAGCCCAAACTCGAATTCATTGCCGAAGACATTGGGTATACGGAAGTTTGATAGCTGTTTAATTTCCTATCTGTAGCTTGTATCCTAGACTGGTTGAACTGGATGCTTCCAAGCTTGATAAGCTATCCAAGTCTGGTACGAACTCACAGCTAGCGAGGCTATTCCCAGGAGCACAGCAAAGATGACTCCGATCAGTGTTGCCATCATTACATGCCTCGCACCACTCTTTCTCTGCATGGACTGCTGGAGCCAGCCACGAGGACGAGGAGTTTGAAGTTCGTTGTATAAGTCTGCTAGCCTGTCGGCTAAGTAGACATATGGAACGCTCTCCTCACCCACGCGTCTGACGGAACTGACTTCAAAGTTGAGGATGTCTGGATCGAAAGAGCACTTTGAAATGAGTGAGCGGAGAAGTTTCTTAGATCTTGGATCGGAAAGCGGGAACAGAGTCCCTTGGAGAGAGTCCAATACTTCGAGGACTAGTTGGCGTGGTAATACTCCTCTACATGATGTAAGCAACCTGAGGTTTCTTTCTGTGCATGGAACTCACCTCTTGAGTGAAGAAGACGGACTGGAACAATCTCCGACATCCCGAGTCACTCTCAACTGTTCCTTCAGAAAGGAGGTGTAGTGGTAAACCTCGAGGTAGTTGTTCTTTCTGTCAAAATGTAGGTGGTTGCGAATATCTGATGTCGCCCTGATAGTGATTCCCAGTCTTTTCTTCATGTTGACGGCTCTGAGTTCCTTCTTTATATCCGCAAATAGCTCGCTGTTGTTGTAGCTAAGTATGTTGTGATTACCAAGTGGAAACGAGTCTTGGATGTATTTGCTGAGAGGTACGTCCTCTCTCCAGTGAATTCGATAGGTTCCTTTCTCGAGTCTGTCGGAAGAATGATGCAGTGCTGAAGGGTCAATCATCAGAAGTGCCTTCAGACCAAGTGACACTGTATCGACTTGACTTGTTCCATCAGTCTGCTGTGAGTTTGTATTCCCGCGAGTCAATCGGCACAGCTCTGATAGAGTGGCATCCGGATTGGACTTCAAGATGGAAACGACCTGAAACAGATCCTCGTGTGTTTCTATGCGTCTTTCATTCGTAGGGGTTGCATCCATGTAGGTCGAGACAATTGCTTTGTAGTACGCAAAATATCGCTGAAGCTGAGGAATGCGACCGCCGATGCAGCGCTGATGGATACAGGCATGAGGCTGCCGTTCATTGCAGGACTGAGACAGATCCCATGACCACAAAGCCATCACTATTTCCAGATAAACATCCTGATTGAATTCACTACTGATCCTAGATGCCATTGTACGTATCTGTGATGAGTTTCGACATGGACTGCGCTTCGATTCAGAAAGGCAGAGGGCGAAACCTCGATATTATTGCGACTTGGAAGGCAGCCTCATTTAGAGCCTGATTGTAGATCTAGGCTTGAAAATCGGCCTCGGATTGGTTGTGGTGTAGTGATTGGCCTGATCTGTGATGGTCATGCAGCTACTTATGCAGTCTTGATGCTTAGCCACCGCTCTCGAGCTGAGCCCCAAGCACGCTCGTCACGTCTTACATATGCGTATATTCTCCACAGCATCAGTGTTTTGGATATTCAGTTGAATCATTTATCACGTTCAGAAATTCAAGAAGTTTACAGAGCTCACACCGAAATGACGACCGTTGAGCGGTGGCAGGGGCAGCTGCCGTCCCGCCTGAGAGGCGGCGAGGGAAGTTCAACGCAGGTGGCTACCCAAGATAGCCCAGATGTCGAATGTCCGGAGGGCCTGAGGCACAAGTTCTCAAATTGGCGAGCCTCTGTTCCTTTTCGTTCCTCTCCAAACATCACATCACAACCAGCACAGCGGGCAGATCCCAAGACACCGCAGTATGAAGAGTCTGATTCTGGTATCGGCATCACCACGCCATCATCCCAAGGTCATCAAAACGAGCCTCCTGGCCTAGAACTGCCTGGAACTGGGCTTAGGTGCTTTGAAAGCCCTATATCTGATCGACTGAAAGCGCGGTTCTTCGACATCAAAGTCTTGTACACCCAACCACTACTGGACTACATCCTCAAAAGGAAGAAAGATCCGGGAGACATCTCTATGAAATTGAAATACCTGGGACTCAACTCGCTAAGCACCAAACTCCATATCGTCATTCAGTGTGAAAGAAAAATCGCCAAGAGAGTGAGGAAATTCTTCGCGCAAGGTCATGTTGAAGAAGAGCTTTTGCCTGACTTTCGTGTCTTTGTACTGGAAAAGGCACTCCTACGACTGACAGATAATGAGGCGATAGAGGTTCTGACAGACTCTGTACCAGAGAGAACATGGTGTGGAACGCCCATCAGACTGAGACGAGGCAATGTGTCTGTCGTAGCGACTTTCGGTGGTATCATTGTGGTTGAAGCCGCTCACAAGCGTCTAGTTGGCTTGACGGCTGCCCATTCTCTAAATAAATTGCACAGTCCTCTCTCTAATCAGCTATTGACGCATGATAAAGAAGTACCCTTCTCATCCTCATCCTCGGACGCTTCCGAGAGCGAGAGCGACTCTGATTGCGAGTCCACGATCACGACTGAAAGCTCAGTGCAGCATCCTGAGCACTTGGATGGCAAGGGACTGGAAACCACTGCATCTCAAAACACCTTGGAAATCGGCACCATCCTTTGCAATACATTCAATTCTCCGATGGCTCAGAACTATGACTGGGCTATTATTGATTTGAGCCAACAGCCGACATTACCTAACAAAGTTGTCCTAGGTGGACAGTCTGACTCGTCAGATTTTGAGGAAGAAAGCGACCTTGAACCCATCTTGTTTCCAGTTGGGAATCCTTGTGTATCAGTTTCTAGGCAAGTCATGGTACTGAAGCAAGGTGCCAAGCCGATTGGAGAGATGTCTCTTGACACTTCCTCTGTGCTGATATCCCCAGGATCATCGTTTGTTGAGGTCTATGATCTTGCCATGGAGCATGGCTTTTGTAAGTGAGTTTGAGTACTCTGTTATAATAAACTGACCATGTGCCCCAGCATTAAGTCCCGGTGACTCCGGCTCATGGGTAGTCGATGCGAAGACCTCGGTATTATATGGTCATGTTGTTTCGACTGATGCCTTTGAGGAGGCCCAAGTAATGCCTATCCGTTCGACACTCGACAGTATCAAGGTGCAGATGAATGCCACACGAGTATCCTTGCCAAGTAGTGATGACATCCGAATGTTGCAGGAGGAGTTGATGAGTCACGCACCAGCCAACTTGGAAGTTTCATCGGTCACCGAAGCATGCGAAAAGCAGGAAGGTACACAGGTAACTCGACCAGAAGATATGAAGGGAGGCCAATCTATGTCATCTTCACCTTCTAAGGAAGCATCTGATAAGTCTTCGTCTAAGCGCGCACTATCTCAACAAGACATTGTTGCACAGAGCCTTGAGATCGCTCGTGAAAGTCCTGACGGGGCTTCGTATCCTTCTATCAGAGAGATCCTTGAATCTGCACTGGAAGAAATATGGGCCAAGATCCAGGATCAGCCCGACTCGTATGTTATGACGAGAGATGAGTTTGCCGTCTTCAATTTCTTCCAGCACCGCTTCGCTGGTGATAAAATGGCAGTCTCCGCTCGAAAGAGATTTTGGGAAGCAGCAGCAGCTGTAGACTCTTCGGAATCTACCAAGACCGAAAGTAGTGATCTTGCTCAGATTGACGCCATTCGGGAGTTGGTCCAGGCCTCGTATCGACGCGTTGGTACATATGGCCCAGATTTCGCCAACGTGGCTACTAAATTGTACAAACTTGAAATGACTCTTAGGCGGCTGCGAGATGAAGTCGCCGAGGAACAAGAAGAGTTACCTATGCACATCCAACAATCTTACACAAATCATCTTCACTCACTAGTCGAGGATTGGGATTTCGCAATGAAACGAGTCAATTCTTTACTTACTACGTATCATGAGGAGGAGATAAGTCTTGTAGGGGAAGAGGCCTCCATGAGCGGTGAACTGAAGCCTATGGAGCCTATCTTGGCTGGCAAAAGGATGGCAATTGAGCTACTGTTAGACTCAATTCAGTTACAAAAGCCTCAGATCTACGACCAACACCAGTCTGACCTCGAAGAAATCAAGGACAAGGTCGACCATATTGCTGCTCACCTTTTCGCCCACTGGAATGCTGAATCCTTTTCAGGAGGGAATGATGCTTTATGGCGACATTTCCAGCTACTGCTGGAGAAAGAAGGATTTTCTTCTCAAGTCCTAAGCAAAAAGAAAGTGAGTATATAGAATATTTGAAGCTCTTTGACCGACGCTGACATGGAGCAGGATATCCTCATGGCGTATATCAAAGACCTCGGCTATATTGCCGATACCACCACTAACACACTTTCTCATGTTCATAAACCAGTCATGGAATCTCGGGGAACTGATTCTCACGGCCGAAAAAAGCCGGATCTGGAGCACAAGTATGATACCAGTATACAAATGGATGTCATCACTACAGAGGACATTATTGCTCTAGATGGAAAGGATGCAACCATTCAACATATCCAACCTGCCCTTTCACCAAGGGAATCAAAGATTCTACGACAGGCCATGCCAGCACAGCTTCGGTCAAAAGAAACCTCTTGTGATGAGGATGGATTTCATGAGGATGGAAGCGATCTTGATGAAACATCACCGCCCATTGCCTCGTCAAGGTCCAAATACAGGCGCAGGGGCAATAACCATCCGTCCCGTTCTACTCAATCGTCTCAACATATGTCCCCCGATCAAAACGGTATAGAAATAGCTGACGGTGCCCATTGGACGAAGATACCACGCAAACTTGTCAGTGTCGAGGTACTTCAACGAGCGGGCGTGCGATACGAAGCAAGACCGGATTATGTGGCCATACTTGGTATTTTATCCAGAGAACAAGTGGCAAAGCTCGTTCACGAGAGTGAATCGACGATAACCTCACGTCCTCCACCGCCGTATCCTGAAGACAGAAGTTTTTCCAGACAAGGACGTCCTGTGTTCGCAAATACCGATGACGAAGAGATGTCATTCATCCCTCTGATCGAAGGCGACGACAAGGGCAACGTAGCTGTTCGGACAAATCACAGGGGGTCTATCAAGACTCGCCATAGCGATGTTGCATGGTATTTTCCGCGCAGAGGGGCCGAGAAGAAACAAGAAAAACCCGGAAGTAGACAAGAGATTTCATACCCAAGGCAGTTTAAAGGGGTTGAAATACGGCTGAAACGCAAGCCTCACCGGGAAAAGAATGGCCAGGGTGGGCTTCAGCACAGCGCAAGAACCTATGATAAGGGTGTTCCAGGCGGTGTAGTTGGAATTGGCAGTGCTGCTGTAAGCTTGCTCAGCGTGCTATCTGAGGCTGCGCCTGCTATTTAGAAACGGGGTATGTGTTCTTTATTTCTCGCAAGTTTGAATCTTGGGTAACCGTGTGTAAAGCGTGGAGATTGAATATAAGAGCACGAAATTTAGACGTCGATGGTAAAGAAACATAAACCTCGAACCTAGGCCATAGGGAACCCAAGCTGCATTTACGCCAATGTAGCGAAACACGTACCCTCTCTTATTATCAATTCCTGCTTCAGCTTTCCTTTCATGTTGATTGCAATCTCTTATCTCATATAAATACTATTCAGCTCGTGGCCCCTCAATACCTGACGTTTGGAGCAAGTCAGGAAGCATTAGATCCTATTGCAATCAACTCTCCATCATCTAGCTTTCCAATAGTTAGTTCCTACCTGGAATGCACTCCTTACCCATCACTTCTGAATTCCAGCTTTCATGTAGGATTCGTCGTCGGCTCCTGGGTTTCCGTCCATCTCGTATATATCCGCTCTCTGCAGCTCCTCGTGAGCAGGATAAAAGTAGTATGTATCTTTGTTGCCCCAGTTAGCACCCTCATAACAGGAAATTCGAGAGATTACTGACCAGCTTTTCGTTTCTTTCTGATTAGGTAGTAAGTAATCCCCAGCCCGATCAGGACTGCCCCAGCTACGGCACCAACAACGGCGCCACCGATGACTGCACCAGAGGGTGAACCCGAATTCGAACTAATCCCTTTATCTGGTCTTGAACCCTCAGATGCAGGTCCCGTGTAAGATGCAGAAGGTTGTATAACACCCGTGGTATTCTCACACTTCTTCCCCGTCTCTTCATCGAATACTTTAACGAGGCTTCTTTCTCGAGTGGCATTCGCCTGCCAGAGCGTAAAAGTCCCAGCATCGTGATTTACCATGAGATAGGCCGCTGTGAGGAAATATCGGCCTAGTATGGGTGGTTCGTCTTCAATGTCTGTTATGAGAATGTCGCGTTTGGAGGTATCGGTTGTTCGTGAGCCGTTCGATGCAATGTCGACGGTGGGAATCATGTATTGGTTGTTTGGGACGCGGATCTTGAGGCCGGAGTCGAGATGGAAGGTTAGGTCTGCCAAAAATCTACGAGGGTCAGTGATCTCGAGCATAATTGTAGATTGATACCACGTACTGCTTATCCAGGCCTGTCTGAAGAGCGTTCCAGTGCAATCCACTTGACGAGTAATTCGTCTTCAAACCACTGATCGACTCAAAATTTCGTATATACGGCGTCGGTGCTTCAAGAAGCAAATGATTCGCCGGATCGATACAGCACTGCAGCGTTGTCCCCTTGGGAACGATGCTGACATTCGTTCCACCAAGATAATTGATCTGGATATCAGTCAAAGTCACCTTCATGCCAGTCCAGCACCCATCCGAGCCATCAAAATCGCCATATACAAGCGGCGCAGTGTAATTAGCACCAGTAACTTTCTTCTCGTCATAACCTCCCAGAATCAGCGATCCGTCGAGAGGTTCTTTGATCCACATACGGCCCCAGAATATAGACCATACTCGCGAGCCAATCTTTCCCGCTTTGCGCAAGGCGTTCAGATATGTTGAATTCCTGCCCAGGCCAAGGGAACTTAGAGTACTGTATGTTTCGTCCCATTTACTCGTCGGTATACCAAAGGGAAAGTCGTCGAGATCGGCGGAACCTTCGAAGTTGAAAGTGTCGACTGCGCCGTTTGCGCTTTTGACGAGGTTACGGACACCGTATTGCCCGCCCTTGAAGAATGTTTCGTCTGGTGCACCACCTGCTTTTACGATGCCCCTCGCTCCTGTGAAACTCGTGGATTTCTCTTCGTTGAATATCCCTCCTCTTCGGACTTTGCATGATTCGTCGTTTGGGATGCCTGAGTCTTTGCAGAATGGGTCGGCGTATATCCATGTATTGTTCAGGTCACTCTCCGTGTTAGTCATAGATAGTGATTATTGAAGTAGAAACGTACGCCCAAGGTAGTAGAACGAGATTCTGAGGCGGTGTCCCGATTTTAGCCGGAATCCCTTTCATGAATGAGTCGGCGACATCTGGAAGGACTTGGACGTCTTGAAGCGGGAGAACTAAGGGCTCTGCATCGCAGGATGATGTGAGGGCCTTTTGCACGAGGAGAAATGTTAACAGAAATCGATACATCGCAAATTATGGTATTACAAAAGAAAGAAAATGGAATAATAAGTCAGTAGATCGTGTTCATGAATGCGAGCAGAAAGCGCATCTTGTTATTTGTCGTCCACGAGGACTCAAAGGCTCGTGCCTAAGTCCAACCAACACCAACACCACGGTTTTCCAACCACTTACAAAAGCCAAATCTACTCAAAGGACACCACCACCTTCTCACCATCCCAGTTACCTTCTTCCCTGGGTATCGGGCAAGGCGAAAGAATCACTTATACTATGTATAGCATCAAAGCCAGGACTTCCACAAACGGATATAGTCTCGTTTTAGGCTTCCGGACCACCAACCCTATCGAGTAAGCTAGGGGAGGAAAGAAATCTTAGGGCCTTTATTCTAAGCGACAAAAATACTTAGGTAACTTAGCAGAAGTTTAGCCTGAACTTAGGATATCTTTGCCGAGTTTATTTTGACGTAACAGATGTTTTCTTGCTCCCGGAGGGTAAGATACCACCTCGCAAGGATTAGGATAGGCTGGCTTATCACTACTGACTTTAACTCAATCCGTAAACTGCAACAAAGAAGCCATTTCAGGACATCTTACACCTTTTTTGTTTTTGTTTGTTTTTCTTTTCTTTGTCTCTGCACACCATGTTTCGTCGCCGTGCTTCAAGACGCCTCCCCTCACGCGTCGTGCTAATCGCCGCCTTTCTCACAACCCTCTTTCTATGGCGTCAATTATCGCATCAAAGCGGCGTGGTGTTTGTAAAGAGCTCTTTTGACTGGTCGACCGTGGGACTTGTTCATCCGCCGGCGGATATCAAGCCTTTACCTGTTGGTCACGCAAAGCGCATGCCCAGAATCCAAGCTGAGAAGGCGAAATTTGTAAAGACGGGGGAGGTTGAGAAGAGGAGAGATGCTGTGAAGAGGGAGTTTAGGAGAGGCTGGGAGGCGTATAAGTTGAAGGCTTGGGGGAGGGATGAGTTGATGCCGCTGACGGGACAGGCGAAGGATCCGTTTGGCGGGTGGGCTGCTACGTTGGTTGATGCGCTGGATACACTTTGGATAATGGATCTTAAGGCGGAATTCAATGAAGCTGCGAGTGCGGCTGCGGCGATAGATTGGGGGAAAACAGACGAGAAAGCAGTGAATCTCTTCGAAACGACAATTCGACATCTCGGCGGTCTTCTCAGTTCATATGAACTAAGCCGCGAACCAGCATTACTGCAAAAGGCCACAGAGCTCGGAGAAATGCTATACATCGCCTTTGACACGCCAAATCGACTGCCTGGGTTCTGGCTCAATTTCGACGATGCGTTAAAGGGTAAACAAGTCGCTGGTATTCACGACCCTTCAGCCTCACCGAGCTCGTTGGTCATGGAGTTTACAAAGCTCTCACAACTAACCAACGATCCCAAATTCTACGACGCAACAGATCGTGTATCGCGGTTCTTACTCAGAATTCAGAATCATACCCTGTTACCGGGGATGTGGCCCATGTGTCTTGACTTTCAGAACGAAGCTGTGCACGATAATACGTTCTCGCTTGGTGCACTGGCTGATTCTCTCTATGAGTATTTGCCAAAGATGCATGCCCTGCTCGGTGGCTTGGACGAGAACTACGAAAGCATGTATCGCACGGCGGCGGATGTGATTACAAAGCATTTGCTCTACAGACCTATGCTGCCGAACCAGGAGGATGTCCTGTTCTTAGGTGATGTCAGGGTCGGTGAGAAGATCGAGTTGAGCACAGAGTCTCAACATCTTACCTGTTTCGCCGGGGGAATGTTTGCACTCGCTGGAAAACTCTTCAGTATCGAAGAGCACGTTAATATTGGGGAAAGACTCGCCCGAGGATGTGCTTGGGCATATAGCGCTTTTCCGACCGGTATAATGCCCGAGATCTTCGACCTAGTAGCTTGTCCTTCCCTCTCACCCTGCGAATGGAACGAAACGCTCTGGAAGCCGCTAAACAACCAAAAACTCCCTCCCGGCTTCCGCCACGCGCGCGATCCGCGATATATTCTCCGGCCAGAAGCTATCGAGAGCGTATTCATCATGTATCGCCTCACGGCTGATCCGAAGTGGCAGAATATGGCGTGGGATATGTTTCAGGCTGTTGTGAAGTATTCGAGCACTGAGCTTGCGAATGCGGCTGTTGATGATGTCACGAGTACGGAGACGTCTAAGACTGATTCTATGGAGGTGAGTTATTGACGTAATGACAGGGTGTGTGCGTGTGTGTGCTAATGAGTGTACAGAGTTTTTGGTTCTCGGAGACGTTGAAGTATTTCTACTTGATCTTCTCAGAACCGGATTTGATCAGTTTGGATGAGTTTGTGCTGAATACGGAAGCGCATCCTTTTAGAAGGCTTTTGAGTCGGGATTGAGGGATCAGACCTTGATCCTAAATGGCCAAAAGACTTAGGTAACCTAGCATAAGTTGAGTATACCTAATTTAGGGATAAACTTAGGTTACCTTTTGCTGAGTTTATTTTGATGTCCTGTATCAAGGTCCGATGCTTTCTTGCTCCTCGAGGGGCGGTAGATTGCAATGATCGTCGCGCTGAGTGGACCACGCAGCCCGTGTCGGACAAGATATGTCTTTCATGGTCATCTTAACGAAATATAAATATTGATGATGATGTCTTGAAAGAATGCCTCGCTCTGAGCGCTTTTGCTACTGGTATAAGGCCCAAGATTCTCGACCAAGTAGCCTGGCCGACCTTCTCACCCTACGAATGGAGTGTTGGATGCAGGACAAAGTACCGTCCATATCAAGGCCTTCGGTCCCATGTAGCATGCGTTCCATGACTCAATTCCCTCCCAAATTTCGAGAGGCCGTATTCCAACAAGATGATCAGCATCCGTTTGTATGTACCTTTTTTCCAAGTTCTTTGGAATACCTTTGTAATCGAGTCACAAATGTTCATGAACAGAGGTCACATACCGGATGATGCTGGTGTTTCACCTCTTTGTTCTACACCTCGAAATAGCAACTTGAGGCCATGGCAATAAGGCCTTGACCGGGTCTGATGTATTAGTCAAAGAATAGATATGGATGTTCTCGTTATTGTCGAGGTTCTCAATGACTTCACCATGGTAATTCAGGACTCCCATTCTCGTGGCCTTCAAAGCAGATATGCCAAGGGAAGTATATAGCTCCCCATAACCACCATTCCCATTCCCGCCCCATAGATCAATTTCAAGCAAAATTACCAATATTACTATACACTACCATCAAAATGTTTTCACCCCTTTTCCTCCTAACTCTCACCCTCAGCGCCTTCGCTACCCCTCCCCCCTCCCTCAACACAACCTCCCTCTCCCAGCAGCATCCCTCCCGCATCGCACCGCGCTTCATCTCAGGCGGTTTCTACGACAAGTGCAAAGACGTGCGCTTCTACCTCGCCAAAGCAGACGACACACATCCCCGCAAGAACAGCTTCACCGGGTACAAGTCTTCGCCATGGCTTGTCGCTAAATGTCCTGATAAGAACGGCAAGTATATCTGTACGTGGTTGGCGCTGAGTAAGTGTTTGCTTAATTCGGAGGGAGAGCTGTATCGTGGTGCAAAGTAAGTATCATCACTGTTTTGTTGTTTGGATGATGGCTGATGATGATGGTAGTGGGAATTTTCACGGGTCGTGTACGGCGTGTAAGTTGACTGGGAGTAACTTCAACTGCGGATGCTGGAGTGGTTTGAAGAAGGGCAAGAATGATTTCGGGAACCGAGTTCATCGAACGAGTATCGACTTGAGTATGTTTTCCTTCCGGGTCTGATGTTTTGTTGCTAACTGGTGATAGATGTTGCTGTTGGCGCTGTTGATGGGTATTTGACCTGTCATGGGAATTGGGGAATCCTCGATTATTGCAGTGGAAGGCCATCGCATGATCCCTTTCTCGATTCCAAGTGATGATCTTGCATCAAAAGTTCTTGTTTTTCGTTGACGGATTTGCTGGCTGTTTCTGCGTTTTGCCTTTCCTCGCATTCGTTCTGTTTTTTATCCTTCTTCACATTCATCGCATTCGTTCTGTTTTTTATCCTTCTTCACATTCATTCGTATAGCTTCGTTTCTCTGGCAATTGGCATCGCATCGCTTTGTTGTTTATTAGACCTGAATATTTAGTTTTGCTTCTCCTCTTTGTTGCCGCCATCGATTCGTTGATTCAACCAGCTCCGGACAACCCTTCAACAACCATCCCCATTTCCTCAGAAATCCCACACTGACCTCCCAGCTACTGCCTTCATGCGCCTCTCCCCAAACAATCAGATAAGCATCATCCAAACCCTGGCTGCTTATGAGTCCCAAGATATCGATACACAGCTCGTCTTCATCAAATACACCACTCGTGTACCCTTTGAGCATGTTATCTCTCAATTGGGGAAACGGCAGTAAATCGACCCAAGGATGGTGCTCCAGCTCGATTTGTAGCTTCGTTGGCCGTAGCGATTCGGGACATGAGGATTTCACCAAGGTACCGTCTGCGGACGAGGGACCTAGCGCGTTCCAGGGCGATATCACATCGTCGCAGCATAATCCCTGCAGCGGGATGCCGATGTGAACGGCATTGCTCGACACGGCATTAACGGCGTTGAGACGGATGAGCGAAGGTAGAAGTGCCGGACGATGATTCTTTAGACTATGTTGCATGTGAACCAGCTGCATGAATGCATATGCAACAGCACGGTCTCTGGCATTAGTGAACATGAGAATTCCATTCGTGTGGATTTCTTCCGGGGTGACATTGGCATATTCCTCATTCCGAGCCTTCCGTTTACCTGCTAGAGTCAGTTCTGCTTCAATGAACAGTACAGTATAGCAAAGCACAGTAGGGGACTAACGATAAGCTCTCTGGTTCAGGCGGTTCTGCCGTCTCCGTCTATCTCTCGCCTCAGTGATCCCCGTCCAATCATCATCTGGGTCTTTGAGCTCCGTTAACTGGGGCAGCTGGCCGAGACGTTTCGGAGCCGGCGGTTGAGTAAGCTCTGCCATCGGGATTCTTACGTGAAGAGTGCGAGATTAGACTAGACCCTCAATACTCGGTCAAGACTGTTTATGTACTTGGCTGACGAGGGAATTGTAAACTCCGGGAGGGAAAGAAGAAGGAGTTTATTACTGAGCGGTAGAGATAAAAGACTACGTAGACCTCGGGCTGTTTATTGCTTACAATTGATGTTTTCTCACTGCTTCTGAAGCCTTTGGAAGGTTGGTTAGCTGGGATTGAAGCTTTACTGATGGGCTCTGATTCGCTACGGAGATAGCACTGATGGCGCTAATGCAACCTGCTGACATCAAGACCCGAGCAGAATTTAATTTTACGTGACGGGACGCTGATGTCAGACCTCTAATCCAACCCAACACTCGGATCAAATGAAACACCGTCCGACTCCTCCAAGATCAATCAATGACATGCTCCATCCATCCATAGATAGCAACAGTAGCACTCTCCATCGAGTCTAGCTAGTATCTCCATTGAATCATCAACTGCCGATGCATCCTCCTCGTGGCAGACCCGCCTCAATCTGGAGACGTCACCCTCCCTTTACGGGCCTTTTCCCTCACAATGCGGACTACGATTAGTGGGCTAACTAACGGCGATGGCTTCCTTTTTGCGTCCAGTCCCAAATGGAAAATTTAACTCCGTTTATATCCATCTCCATTCCATAGCATTACATCGCTGATAAATTCTCGGGTCTTCGATGACGTTGCGGAGTCCGATCTTTTTTTTTTCTTGCCGTTGCCTTGGATGGTTGTAGAACCTTGGAGGTGGAAGTCATATATATATATATAGCTTGCAAACTCACGTAGATGGTCTGATCAATACAATCTTGTTTGCTTTTCATCTTCTTAAGCTTGCTTTTCATCATTCAAAGTACAGAATAATTCATCAACATGTCTACCGATTACGAATTCAAGGGCTGGCTTGGCCGCGATCCTAGCTCCGTCCAAGGAAAGATGGAGTGGGATACCTTTGAGCCCAAGAAGTGGGAGGAGAACGACGTCGACATCAAGATCACACACTGCGGTGTCTGCGGATCTGACCTTCACACTCTTCGCTCCGGCTGGGGCGAGACACCTTTCCGTAAGTCCTCTCTCAGTCCACACACACAATGGTCCAAGTACTGACAGAAGCAGCCTGCTGTGTCGGCCACGAAATCGTCGGCAAAGCTGTCCGCGTCGGCTCCAACGTCACAAACGTCAAGGTCGGCGACAGAGTCGGTGTAGGCGCCCAGGCCCGCAGCTGTCTCCGCGACGACTGCTCCGAGTGCTCCGCCGGCCGCCTCAACTACTGCCCCAAGATGGTCAGCACCTACGGCTCCATCTACCCCGACGACATCGGAAAGTCCTACGGTGGATACGCAGACTACAACCGCACCGACTCCCGCTTCGTCGTAAAGATCCCCGAGAGTCTGCCCTCTGAGTACGCTGCGCCCATGCTCTGCGGCGGTGTCACCGTCTACGCTCCCCTCCGCAACAACGGCTGCGGCCCTGGAAAGACCGTTGGCATCGTCGGTGTAGGCGGTCTGGGCCACTTTGGCGTTCTGTTCGCCAAGGCTCTCGGCGCTGATAAGGTCATTGGTATTTCTCGCAAGGCCTCTAAGAAGGAAGAAGTTCTCGCTCTCGGCGCTGATGCTTACATCGCTACTGACGACGATGAGGACTGGGCCAACAAGAACGCCAAGACGATTGATCTCATGATCTGCACCGTCTCGAGCAGCAAGATGCCCTACAGCGACTACTTCAAGCTTCTCCGTCACGGCGCCGACTTTGTGCAGGTCGGAGCTCCTGACTCTGGCGAACTTCCCCCCATCAATGCATTCAACCTCATCATGGGCCAGTTCAAGCTGAGTGGAAGCTTGATTGGATCGCCTAAGGATATCGAGGAGATGCTGCAGCTTGCTGTTGAGAAGAATGTCAAGCCTTGGGTTGAGAAGAGGCCGATGGAGGATGCCAACCAGGCTGTTGTTGATATGGAGAATGGAAAGGCGCGATACCGATATGTTTTGGTTAACCAGAAGAACATTGATTAAATTAGCGGGATATAAATGATAGAGATAGACTGTACATAAGACATGAATGAACAATAGAATAATCTTGAACAAGAATCTTACTGAATTTCTTTGGTGGTTGAATGGATAGTGGCATACCCCGCTATTTACATCACGCCCTTCAGCACCATGAATCGGCACTTCAATCACTGGACTACAACGGCCTCAGTGAGTCCAATTGACTCTTGTTCTTCATTGTAACTACTCATACCAACATCCATGTCTCAAACACTATCATAATGCCCCGTTCAGACGAAGCACAAGCATTCTTTCACGCCGTCTACTCCGCTGTTCAAGAGATTCCCCACGGCAAAGTCACAACATACGGCCACATCGCCATGCTCGTTGGAACCCGTACCAAACCCTCTCTCACACGCCCAAAATTCACAATCACTAACGTCCTCCAGCTCAAAGGCCTCGTCAAGTCGGCGTCTGTCTAAAACACCTGCCCGCCGATCCATCCCAGCCCTTCAACCACGACAACGTCCCATGGCAAAGAGTCATAAACTCCAAAGGCCAAATATCACCTAGGTTCGTCCATCAACCCCTCCCTCACATACACCTCATATCTGACTATCTAGATCTCAACCTGGAGGATCTCGCTCGCAAGCCGATGCCCTCCAAGCAGAAGGCGTGCAAGTCGAGACAAATGCAATGGGCGAACACTCAGTAGACTTCTCCCAATACGGCTGGTTCCCAGAACTGCTCCCCTCAGAAGAAGACGATCAAGGCGAATGATTAAGGTCTTTGAAACTAGTATTTACCACTATCGTCTTTCGGAAAACAAAACTTCCACGTTTTTGTTCTTCCTATATGTAATTTGTAATTGGAACCCAAAGATCAAATGGGTCCCCCCTCATAAGAATCATCCCATCTTCCGCTTCATTCTTTGAATCAAAGTCCGCCACCCAAAAATCTCCCCCTGAAATTGAAGGGAGTCACAATCGAAAAGAAGAAAAATTACACATGTATAAAGACAGACACCCAAAATGACATCTTTATACATCGAGCCGCTCGTGTATGTGATAAATCTCCCCTTTCTTCACAGGGTAGAAAAAACAACAGAAAGTAGAAAAAAGAATCCTCCAAACTCCTGGCCAGTGCTTGAAAACTTGGTTGGGATGCCCGACGACGAAAAAAGGATCGCCAGACCGACAATAAAACTCGAGGGGGAATATGGTGAACAACATCAAATCAGAAACGTGATGACACATAAAGGCGTTGCAAAAAGAATCCCATCCCAATCAACCCCCCAAATGCTGAATGCGTGTGTCCCGTGATCAAAGACTCCGGAACGGGCCGCGCATAAGTCGGCTAGTCACAGCTTCGCCTCCTCTAGAAGCAGTTCAAGCTTCCCTTCTTCTTCTTGCCCTTGCTGATGGCATTCATACGCTCCTCGAGCTGGCGGCGCGCAGCCTCGGCAGCCTGTCGCTTCTTGCGCTCCTCCTCCACAGCTTGGAGACTCCATCTGTTGTCCTGGACAGGCTCGGGGGGAGGGCGGTCCTTGAGCTCCTTGACCTCGACCTCTAGCTCACTAGCACGCTTCTTCCAGGCATCACAATCGGCCTTAACTTTATTAGATTGCCTTTCCAGGTCGGTAAGAGCCTCCTCGAGTGTCTGGGTAAGCTGACGCTCCGCATTAAGGTGCTTCTCGATGGTTCGGATACGCGCTTCCTGGTCTTCAGTGATATGAGAGATGTTGATGTTGTCCTTGCTGATGGGGCGTCCATTGGTAGGTGAGCTGGGAGCTCCATTGACTGGAGATCCCGCCCCGTTTGGCAGGGGAGGAAGAGGGATAGCTGGTGGGGGTGATGGAAGGGAGACGTGAGATGCGCTCTTGCGAATGGTTGAGTTAGAGTTTGACCGCTGGACGCCAGCCGCCACCTCGTCCATTTTAGCCTACGAAGTGTTAGTCAAGTCCACAAATTATCTTGCAGGGACAAGCTTACCTGGAGAGCTGCATAATCTTCCTTCAAGACCTGCAATTCAGCAGTGAGGCGTGCAGTAGCGGCATTGGCCTCAACCAATTGACTGTTGCGCTCAGTCTGCAGGGTGCTCAATCGGTTATTGGTGATTTGGACCTCGTCAAAGTTATTCTGGAGCTGCTCCTCAAGCTCCTCCACGAGTCTGCTGTTCTTCTTGCTTCGGTCATCGAGATCTGTCATCCTCTTCTTTGCGATCTTGATCTGTTCGACCAGAGGACCAGAACCAGCACCTCCATCAAGCATCTCAGCCAAAGCAACCTTGGCGTCTTCGAGATCCTTCATGATCTTCTCATTAATAGATGTGAGCTCGTTAACATGTGACTCAATCTCGGCCCGCTTGGCCTGCTCCTCATCAAGAGCCTTCTTGCTGGCAGCAAGCTCATTGATACGCTCCACCAACTTCTCAGCGTCGGCATCAAGACCAAGAGCCATGGCGACTTGAGAAGCTGCCTTGTTGAGCTCATCACGAACCTCTGCAAGCTCAGTCTCCAGTCGGTGAGCACTCTCGGCATGTTCTGACAGCAACACTTCAACCTGCTCTTCGTAGCCTTTCTGCTCGGTCGTCTTAAGATCAGCCAGGGCCTTAGCGTGCTCAGCCTTGAGCTCCTCGAGCGATGTCTCGTTACCCTTGGCGCCCTCATCATGGGTCGCGATCTGCTCCTGAAGCTTGGCAACAAGCTCTAGCTGTCGGGAGTTGTCCTCCTGCACAGCGCTGTGAGTCTTGTGGAGCTCGTCCAACTCGGCGCGAGCAGCAACATGAGCCTGCTCCAGTTCCGCAACCTTGGTAGCGTTGCTGTTGATGATCGCCTTGTACTCGTCAATCTCGTTACGAAGGAAGCTGATGAGGTTCTGTTGTCGCTGCTCAGCTTCGCTGTTTGACTCATCCTTATCGCCATTCTGGGATCGAGATGCAGAGATTTGAGCATGGTTGGAAACAACTCGAGCCTCAAGCTCCTCAATCGTACCCCGCATCTGGGTTTCTGTTGTCGCCATGGAGTCAAGGGCCTCCTTGTGCTTCTGCTCCCAGGTGGCAAGCTCAGTCTGGAGCTCGGCAACACGCTGCTCGTGCTTGGAGTCAGCATTGTCGGGCTCCTGGAGACTAGACTTGGCAGCAAGTGCTTGTCGCAGAGACTCAAGCTCAGTTGTGAGTGCTTGCTCACGAGCCATGTGAGCGTTCCTCGTATCAGAAAGTTGTCTCTCATTCTGCTCGAGCTGATCCCGCAGTGTTGCCACCATGGACATCTCTACAGGGCTGGCCTTGAGACTGGATCGCTCTCTTGTCAATCCCGAGATGATGGTCATCTTGGTCTCCATCTCCTTCTTCGCTGCTGCGACGTCTGCTTCTAGTTCCTGAATGCGTTCGCTCCTGACGTGCAGTTCGTGGATAGCGGCATTCAAGTTCAGCTCGAAGCTCTGCATGGCCTCGGGCTGACCACCAAAGTGCTCAGAAGCAATGTTTCGCAGTGATGAAAATGATCGCTGGGCACGGTCGACAACGAGCAGGTTCTGACTTGACTTGCGTCGAATGACAGGAGTGCTGGAACGAGGTGATGTAGCTTCCATGACACGGGCACGAGATAGGTCAGTCTTGAGCTCCTCAACAATATCGAGGGTCTCGTTGTGCTTGAACTCAAGCTGGGCATATCTCTCGGCCAATTCTCTTTCAGCAGCTTCACGTTCCTGGGCCATCGACTTGAGTCTTTGGAGCTCAGCAGCGATCTCCACGTTGTCATCCTGGGGCAAGTTCTCCGTCGATGCGGCTGCGGGCTTCGTGGTAGCGGTCTCATCATCAGACAAGATGTCACCGTTTGATGAAGCGGCAGTGGCAGGAGAATCCATTGCTGAGGATAATTCCGAAGAGAGCGATCGCGTAAAGGATGACCTCGGCCCAGCCTTCAGATCATTAGTTCTAGAGTCAGAAAGGAAAGACTCGGGTCGGGTATGGGTTGGTGTGGCCACAGAAATGACCGACTCGCGCTTGGGGTTGACATGGCGGGCCTCATCAACAACATCCTGCATCTCAGCAATCTTACGCATAGCATCCTCATACTTGGCGTGGAGAGAGTCGTAGTCATGAAGAGTCGACTCGTGCTCCACGCGCAAGTCAATAAGCTCCTGGGTAACGTTCTCAAGCTTGTCAGCAACAAACTTGGACTGAGCTGGGCTTGGAGGAGGGCCCTCCTCGGTTGGCTTCTCAAGACGTAGAAGATCCTCATCCACTTCCTTGACAGGGCCAATCTTGGTATGAGGGTGGTCTTCCTCGTCACCTTCGGGAATCGGATCCTCCATTTGGCTATGGCGACTAACATGGGAGAGGTTTCGAGAGTGCTCGGCCATAGCACGACGAGACGCAACACCATTGGTTTGCTCAGCATTCTGGTCGGTTCCGTTCTCGGTCCCAGGTTCCTTGCCATCTTGGATCTGGTCAAGTTCGTGGAGAAGCGAGTCGAGCTTACCAAGGCTTCTTTGTCGCTCAACCACTTGCTCAAGTCTATCGATTTCACGTTGCATCAACTCGGCATCTTGATCCGCCTCAGCAAGACGCTCTTCAAGGGTCGAGATGTAGTCTTCGCATGACGCCTCATTCTCTCGAACACGGGAAATCTCCTTACGAAGTTCCATGATGATCGTAGCGTTCTTCTCTTCACCGTTGGTGTGTCCATCCAACTTGGCTTCGAGATCGTGGAGGTAACTCTCGGTGTTATTCTCTCGGTCCATGAGCTTCTGGAGACGGCTCTGAAGCTGGGAGTTGATAGTCTCGACATAAGCGCATTTCGTCTCCTTCTCGAGAAGGTTAGCCTCGGTATTAGAGAGTGTGCCGCGAGTAGAAGAGAGAGACTGCTCGAGAGACTGAATCGTCTTCTCGTATTCCATAACGACTTGCTCAACAGCTTGCGCGAATGAATTCGATCGGTTGAGGCGGTCATCTGCTGTATCGCCTGATTCCTCATGGTGGTCTGCGCCAGATTCATTTTCCCGAGCGCGCGCCAACTCGGCAATCAGTCGAGCGTGACGCTGACTCAAGGCGGTATAGCTTTCTTGGGTATCCAATAATTGGTTCTGGAGCTCAGCCTCGCGCTCGTTTTGACGATCAGATCGTTCAGTAGTTCCTTGCGCGTTACGTCGAGGGCTATTGCCGCCATGTTCGGCACTGCGAATTTGTTCACGGAGGAAGGCAACCTCAGCCTTGAGGCGGTCAATCACAGATTGCTTATCACCTTCTTCGACTTGTTGAATGCGCGGTTTCGATTGAATCGCTCGAGCTCGCTGGGCATACTGGACGGTGTTCAGGGTCTCGCTCAAGTGGAATTCGGCCGGCGTAACACAAGCAATCATGTAAGTGATGGCATTGCCACCGAGCGAATCTTGTAGTAGTCGGGTAAGTCGAGAGTCGCGATACGAAACGTGGGAACCGGGGTTTCTTGACGAAAGCTGGCTGATAACTTTACCAAGGGCGGCAAGACCGGCATTGATAGAGATACCCTCCTTTGCTCGGTCGCCCTGAGCTCCAGTGTTCTTCAGTCTTTCACTTCCAGCCAAATCCACAAAGTGAAGTTTGCTGTCGGTTGTCACAGTAACATCCTGGCCCGTCATCGCTTCAAGTGGAACGGAGAAGCGCTTCTCTTGGACGGACGACTTGTTCTTACGCTGAACAAGGTTAAGTGAGAAAACCGCATGGGATCGCGACGACTTGGCGTTGATAGCCGTGGCATCGGTCTGGCGAATAGAGGATCCAAAGTTCAGAGCATTCAT